GGCCTAAGGAGTGGCGTCACGCCCGAGCACTTTCCTCGAGGAGGGCAATCGCCCTGGCATAACGCCGGGGGCTACTGTCGGTGACATGGGACCGGGGGTATCTTGACTAGAGGTTTGGGGCAGCCGCGGTCACCCACTTGGCCTGACCCCCTCGGGGGGGTCGGGCCCGAGGGTGATGTGGCCGCCCCTCCCTTTGTCTCCCCGAGGGGTCGGGCCGCTCCCGTTTCGGCCCCGAGGGCTGGGGCGCCCCGACCCCCTGTGGGTTTGGCGCCACGTGTGTGGGTTAGGTGAGCACAGCGGCGCTCACCTAACCGCGTTTATTGCGGGTTGGACGAGCGTCCCACGCCGCATTTAATGCAGCGCAGCACACTCGTTCGGTCCGTGACAGGTCACAGTGTGTGACCGGTCACAGACCGGTCAGATCGCGGGTTAGGTGGCAACAGGCGGCCTTTTGCACGCCTCGCCCCGTCCCGTCGGAATGATGAGAGCCTCTAGGCACTCGTCCCTAGACGGAGCCGGCGTGCTAACTCCTGGAGTTAGCACGTCAGTCCCGGCTAGATTCATACCAGGCTTCATCGCAACCATTACAAGGAAGTCATTTTATGAAGAAGGGCTGACGCGTGGCATGCTAAACTGACGCGTGGTAGACAAGAATGACCGGTTTGTGACTGGTCTGACGCCGGTCACGTCATCGGCAGACAACCGTGCTCCCACGTTGCGCCTGCTTCCGGCGGAGTGGAGGTAGGTATGGCCCATCCCATCGGAGGGTCATTCGGACAGCAGCCATGGCAAATCTCCGCCCATTAATGAGGGAGTAGCAGGGAAATCCCCGGTGTCAGGCGAGTGATGACGCTAGGCCTCACTCAAAGACAAGCTGTGATTTAGCTTCCAGGCGAAGGCGCAAGCCAGTTTTTTTTGGGAGATAGGGTGAGTCCCCACCCAAAAGAAGAGTAGGTAGAAGTGGTGTATGTGGGATCCCCTTGAGATATAAAAGGAGGACCTTGCCCACTTAAGAAAAAAGGGGAAAAAAAGGAGGAAGGAGGGAGGAGGGAGCTGGTAAAAGGAAGAGCGGAGCTCGTAGAGGAGAGGAGGAGTGAGAGGGTCTCTAGAGTTTGAACTCTCTTGCTCTCCAGCTCTTTGTAACTCCTTCATACACAGATCCACCAGAACATAGGAGTAGGGTATTACGCTTCTCAGCGGCCCGAACCTGTCTACATCGCCCGTGTCTTGCGCATTTGCTCTCTCGCGAAACATTTCACAGATCGAGGGCTTAGAACCTCACCTAGCGCCCCCGGTCGAACCGGCAAAGGGGGGCCCGCGCGGTCTCCCGGTGAGGAGCCCCACGCTCCGTCACTAGGTGATATGGGCTCAAATATGTCTCTATGAATGTAAATAGCACAAATGTAAATGCAACAAATAAATGAGACAAGAGACAAGGAATTTTTCATCGAGGTTCGGAAACTCGCCGGTTTCCTAATCCCCGTTGAGGTGAGCCCAACTCCACCCGCCCAACCACGAAGCCACCGCACGCCCCCTTCGTCAAGGGGTGGGCAAGGCGGGAGCCGGCCCACGGAGAGGACTACCCAAGCCTCGATCACTCGGGGTAGTTCTTCCTTCACTCCAAAGGTGGTGAACTCCAAACCACTCACAAACGGTGCCGGGCCTCCTCCACAATCTCCTCGGAGAGGTCACCGGGCAACACCTACACAAGCCGTTTAAGAGGCGGCAACCTCCAAGAGTAACAAGTCTAGGATGCTTGCCGAGGATGATCAAGTGCCACACTAACTATAACAATGAAGCAATGCACTTGGATTGGCTTAACTCACTCTCTATCACCTCACTAGATAAACTAAGTGCACAAGGGTGTGAGAGCTCTTGCAAGGGTTCAAGATAATGTAATGGAGTGCCAAAACCTTACCCTTGCTGCTGGGGAGTGGGTATATATACCCCCAACCACCAAAACTAGCCATTGGAACCGAAATCCCCAACTTTGTGCTCTGCCGGTCAGACCGCCATTGTGAGGCCGGTCAGACCGGACTACTTTGTAACGGCTAGAAAACTAGCCGTTACAGGGCAATCATGGAGCCCACTCAACCTGGCCGGTCTGACCGCAGTGTAGTGGCCGGTCAGACCGTCCACGGCTCGGTCAGACCGCCGTCGGCTCGGTCTGACCGGTTGCGGCTCTGGCGGCTCTGTATCGCCACCAAAAACCAGACCAGTGCAACAGACCAGTGGGGCCGGTCAGACCGGCCTTACCACGCCGGTCAGACCGGCCTAAGGCCCACGGTCAGACCGCAGGTCACTTTTCAGCTCAACCGACCGTTAGTAAAACGGCGATATCTCTTGACTCGGGTCTCGGAATTTGGCGTTTTTGGACTCTATGGAAAGCTTATTCAAAGGGCCATCCAACCCATGAAAAATCCATCCAAGAAACACAACTTAATCAAGGATAAAGGGCTCACACTCCAAAGGATATCCACCGGACATACCCACAAGATGTCACTCACTCCTATTGGACATGCCCACTTCTCTCTTGGTTTAGGACTTGAGAAAACTCATCACACTTGGTTAGACAAGCCCAAAAAATGCACCTACATGCATATGAACTAATATGGCACAAGATTATCCACAAGCTCGCTTCATAGACCCCTCTTGATAGTACGGCGCCTATCTAGCAAATCCGGTCTACACCAAACACAAAGACCGGGAAAAGACTAAGAAAACACTCTTAGCTACATTATATCTTTGCCTTGCGCCATCCATCTTGGGGGTCAAGCTTGAGTCGAGATCAACACTTGTGACCATCCGGTTGAACCATGTTTATGCTGAGGTCTTGTCCATCCTTTGTCAAGACTTTATTCTCATCACAAGCTTGACTTCATTCTTGCCAACATGACGATGTCCTTGGCTCGGTGACCACTAACCCATGGTGTCATTCATTAGCCTCATCGTAGTGGGACCTATTCCTTTTCACACCTCAAAGGAGAACATTAGTCTCAACAAATCGGTTGTCATCCTTCACTTGATGACTAACCGGTTGCATATGAAAGATATGGATATATTTGTTGAGTATTCATTAACATCACAAGTGTCATATACTCGTATGCAAGCTCAAGTGCAAAGATTCGATATAAATAATAGGTGAACAATATGGATCTAGAACATGCACAATAAATGTATAGGATTTGCTCCCCCTAAATATATGCATACAAATAAATATACAAGAGATACAAGTGTATGCATAATTAGAGAATGACCAATGGGGGTTTATCCTATACATATAGAGAAGGCATATGTAGTAATGATGTAGACCAACATAAAACATATACCTTCATGATCTCCATGTTCTCAATGTAAATGAGACTAAATAAGATAACATTCGAGTAAACATTAGTCTCACACTTATATATCAATAACATGGAAATCATATATATGAACCTATCAAAAAGTAGGAGATAAGAAGTGGTACATATCGTTTTATCTCCATGCATCTCATCCTTGTCATTATTAAGGTCCATCACAAAAGAATGCATGTCTTCCACATCTCATTATCGGGAAATAACCTAGTAGACAACTTATGCAAAAGAGAGGTTAATCCCATAAACATCGGTTTATCATCTATCACCAAAGCAACAATTACACAAATTGTTTAATCCAAGATCTTTCAATCTTTTCTCTCTTTGGTGATGGATAATAACCCGATATAAACAATATAGAGAGATGAGATGAAAAATGATTTCAAATCAAGATAGAAATCTTATAATAAACAAAATATAGAATAAGCTCCCCCTCAAGATGTGCATACATATGGATATGAAGGAACGCATATGCACATAATCAATAAAGATCAAATAGAAAGCTCACACTATATTTTGGATCCACAAGAGAGACCAAGTTAGAATATGTGAAGTTTAATACATACCTCTCATCATTTTTTACTTTTATATCCAAATGAGACTAGTCAAAGAAAGGCTCATAAAAATGATTAGTCTCATATAGTTAGATTTGTCATTAATCACCAAAACCAAATTAAGGCACTTGAACTTACAACCGCCAGATCCAGATCCCCCGAGGTTGGCAGCCATGAGGGAGTTGAGTCCGAGCCAGATCCACCCTAAGCTCGCTATCACATCCGGCGGCGAGGACATGAGCTCGTCGACAGTTGGGTGCGGCAGCGATTTGGTGCGGAGGTGGTGACGCAACAGCACCCCGACCCTGACGGCTGGATCTGGCTGCCCCGCTGCTGCTCCACCCGGTGTCATTGCCGCTTGGGCCGCCCCGTCGGTCGTCACCGTTTAGGCCGCTCCACCCAGCGCCTTGGCTTCGTCCGCCGGTGAGGAAAGGAGTAGAGGAAAGAGAGATGGGGTGGGAGATGAAAAATGGAAGAAATGGTACTTGTGGAACCTACTACAAGCAACTTACACCGTTGAGTATGTAGCTTTAACACATTCTTGGTTTAGGTGGCATGTGAGGTTCGACAAATCTAGAGGACACTACTATTGTCCTAAGACTTCCCACTTGATTTTACTTGAATTCTAAAATATTTAGTTATAAAATCGAAAAATTAAATTAAAAATCAGAAGTATTCAAGATTCTCGTCAGCCGATTACTCACCAATTGCATTTTAGAATCTCGAGCTTGGCTACAGCAGTACTACTCCCTATCAGGACACCCGTAATGGTTATCTATAGACTCTCTACAAGAGATACATGTCAGCATATTTTCCTACTTGGAAGAGATTAAATGAAGAGAGAGAACAAATATATCTACTAATCTGAAGATAGTCTATAGAGAAAAACGAGGCAATAGATTAATGGTTTACTATTAATCTAGTCTATTACTGAGATGTACATGTTTTATAGATAGCACATTACTTTACTATTACTGGTGCTCTCAGTAGCCAGTTGCTTGTCTTGGCTTGGCTTGCCGTGCCTTGCTGAAATTCCCCAGCTCGCTTCCCCAAGTCGAAGCTGAATTGCACACATCTCAATCAATAATGCTCCCCCAGATCTAGGTGAATCATCAAATTTTTAATTACTCACATCATCATACATATAAATAATTCTTGCATCATTAGCCGCCATAGAAATGACAGTAATAGTAGCATCCAGAAATTTGCTCATTTAGTAGTACTTGACCAGTGACACACTGACACCTAGTGGCTACTTGTCCGAAGAAATTTTAACTCCAAGCTCGAGAAATCCACACCCAAAAAGATCTCAATTTTTGTAGTCTGATGATTTGATGACCAGATGAAACCAGGTTTCTGAACAAGCTGAGCTAGGAATCCTGCAGCTGGGTGGCAGTAGCCGTGTCCATGGCGCGCGCGGCGGCGACGTCGACGTCGACGCCGGTGTCGGTGTCGGGCATGGTGGTGACCCTGACGACGAGCGGCGTGCGGACGCGGTGGTAGCCGTCGGACCAGACGATCTCGCCGAAGTCGTACCGGCCGCGCGACAGCTTCGCCGGCGCGACGGTCACGTAGTAGGAGGCCGTGTCGCGGTACGGGGAGAAGGACAGCGCCGGCGGCCACACGGCGGCGCGCGCGCCGTGCGGGCTGACGACGGCGGCGCGGTACACGGCGTCCCTCCGGGGCCCCATGTTCGTCACCGTCCGCTTCACGGTCACCGTCGCGTTGAGCCGCGGGAGCACGATGGCCGGGTAGTTGAGGTCGTACTCCGGCGGCGCCGCGCCGCCGCCCTCGCCGCCGCAGCTCGTGTCGAGCGACGGCGAGGGGAGCACCATCTGGCGTATCTGGTACCTGGTGTAGCCGAGGCCGCAGAGGAAGAGGACGTGGTCGCGCACGCCGGCGTCGTAGACGAGGCCCGGGTCCAGCGCGCGCAGCGGGTCGACGTGGCCGGCGCCGACGTCGAACGCGTCCGCCGCCTTCAGCGTCCCGCCGGCCAGCATCACGTCGGACGTGTCGTCGTACATGTATGCCGTGGTCATCAGCGCCGACTTGATGGCTGCCGGCGACCACGTCGGGTGCACGGCCCTGACGACGGCGACGATGCCGGAGACGTGCGGGCACGACATGGACGTGCCCGAGTCGAAGTTCCACGTCACGGAGCGCTTGTCCAGCGGGATCACCGTCGGCGACGACATGGGTGGCCACGCCGCCAGGATGTTCACGCCGGGAGCGGTGACATCAGGCTGCACCCGACGAATCACAAACCAAAACACACGAATAAATGGTTTTGCAATATATCCGATTTTCTCCTAAATATTTATCAAATGCAAATATAGTTTAGTTATATTGTAACTTATATGTAATTACAATATAATTTATATGTAATTTTTACATAGTTTTGAAAAATAAAATCATAGTGTGCGTATGGATGAGGACATTTGTCATGAAACGTCTGCTTCACGAAAATAGCATGTTTCCGTATTAATGTTTTTAAAAGTTATATATAATTTGTATTATAGTTACATGTAAGTATAATAGAGTTACACTGTAATTTGTACTCTCTCCGTTTTAGGTTATAAGTCGTTTTGACTTTAGTCAAAGTTAAATTGCTTCAAGTTTTTCCCTAAAAAAAATTGCTTCAAGTTTATCTAAATTTATAGAAAAAATTAGTAACATTTTCAACCCATAAAAAATTTTATTATGAAAATAAATTTAATTATTGATTTAATGAAACTAATTTAATATTATAAATATTAATATATTTGTCTTTAAACTTAGTTAAATTTAAAACAGTTTAACTTTGATAGTCAAAATGACTTATAACAAGGGAGCAGGAAATTTATCGACAAATGTATAAATAATCCCCGCAATAAAATCATGCCATTTTCACCATTTAATCCACGCTCTCGAGAATGAAAAATGTGGTGGCGTACCTTAAGGATGTGAGGGGAGATGGAGCTGGGGCCCCTGGAGGAGAAGTAGGCGACGGCCGGCGCCGGCGACTTGCCGACGAGCGTCGTGCTCGGGGAGAAGCGCGCGGTCGGCGGGCGGCTGCTGCCGCGGATGTAGTCGAGGATCCGGGTGCCCTGGCGGAGGTCGACGTGGACGGTGGGGAGGAAGTTGTCCTGCGTCGACCTGCGGGAGATGGTCTCGGCGAAGATCAGGCCGGCGCCGCCGGCGGCGTACACCGCCAGCGCCGCGACGCCGCTGGACGCCGTCGTGGTGGAGAAGCACAGAACGATCCTGCCGGACGCCGCCGCCCGGCTCCCGTTGGTTAGCTGGTCGAATGAGCAAGACCTTGGCATACAGCAATTGGAACCGTGTGATTCAAGGATGCAGATTTGCAGAAACTACACCTATGTATTTGCTAGCTTTACTTAGTACTTATAAGACGTTTTGACTTTAGTCAAAGTCAAATTATTTTAAGTTTGACTAAGTTTTTAGACAAATATGATAATTTTTATAATACTAAATTAGTTTCATCAAATCAATAATTGAATATATTTTCATAATAAATTTGTCTTGGGTTAAAAATATTACTATTTTTTTACAAACTTAGTCAATCTTAAAGCATTTTAGCTTTGACCAAAGTCAAAACGTCTTATAACTTGAAACGGAGGAAGTATTTGATTTGTGTTTTTTTTTGTTATTACTATTGATAAGTGTTCGTAATGGGTGTTAAACTTGCACATTTTGTTTCAGAATATTTATGTATTTCTGTTCGAATAGAGCAGTTTTCTTGCAAATGGTTAGATTCTACTCAAATATAGTAAAGTTCAGTTAGTGGTGATCACAATTAAGAACAACATGGCAGCTACAAAACCACTAACCAGTTATTAACCTTGCGGATCATAGTTCTCATGTCTCACAAGTTCCTCTAACAGAGTTCTAAAATTCCATGCATATTTTGCGAACCATATAAAGGAGTAGTCATCACTAATATAGTTTTCCAATAATTTTTATTATTATTTTACTATCTAACAACGTTTTCAAGATAATTCAGGCTTATTCATATTGATCATGACCTGGGTATAAAATCTCAGTCTCAAGCCTAGAAAAGCCATATTATCTCTCACTGTTCTGCCAATTACAATAATCATTACTTAATCCAATTAAACTGCACGTGTGTGAGAGAGAGATTACCCATCGGAGAAGACACTGCCGCTTTCTACTAATCTCATCTTCATGTCATTCACATTGAAGCTCTCTCCCTATGCAAAAAACCAGTCATTTCATACATTATTACTTGATTTCACACAAAGCAAACCACGTTATATATAAAAGTACTAAAACACATAATGTAAGATACAATTCTGTGCAGATTACAGATAACTAGTAGCTTGCTAGCTTATGTTTATACACACACATAATTATATTTTGTATACAACTGTACCAAACATCTCGACTGTTATAATCTAGACCCACCACGATTTCTCAATACATTTATCTTTTTCTCTGATTTAATTTATGAGGAAATTTATAACCCCAAAGTAAACGTGGTGTTTTTTCCGAGCTATCTTAATACTCCCTCTGTTTATAATATAAATCACTATAAATTTTTCTTAGTCAAACTTATCTAGGTTTAACTAATTTTATAAAAAATATAACAATATTTTCAACACAAAACGGACACACTATCAAAATATATTTAATGCTACAATCGATGGTACAAATTTAATATTATAGATGTTGCTATTTTCTTATAAACTAAATCAAATATAAAAAAATTGACTACGAAAAAAATATGAAACTGAGGGAGTAGCTTAAATATAATAGAGAGATAAGATTATCAAAAAAAAAATAGAGGGATAAGACTGATAACATCATGGCTGCTGCACTCGAAGATAAATATTTCCATACCACCATAAAACACATGACAGTGAACTACCGTAGACGTGCACCATTAAGAGCCGTGATGTCATATCGTGCGTCCACTACAAACAGTAGACGCCATATTAGAGAAGCAGCGAGAGCGAGGTTAATTACCACGAGGGAGACATTGTTGCCGAGCGTGATCACCGTCGGGAACCTCCTGTCGATGGTGCTGGCGGCGACGGTGATCACCCACGGCGACACGTTCTGCACCATGGCGGCGTCGGGCCCGTCGTTCCCGGCCGAGAACACCGCCGGCACGCCGAGCTGCATCGCGTGGAACGCCCCGATCTCGGTGCTCGTCATGAACAGCGGCATGAGCGGCGGCGTCGAGCCGAGGGACGCCGAGATCACGTGGACGCCGTCGCGCAGCGCGTCGTCGAACGCCGCCAGGATGTCGGCGTCGCTGCACCGGCCCGTCAGGTCCTTGAACCAGCACACCTTGTACACGGCGAGCCGCGACCACGGCGCGCCCCCGCGCGCCACGCCGCGGCCCAGGCCGCCGACGTAGCTGGCGTCGGGCGACACGGCGCCCACCGCCGTCGACGCCGTGTGCGTGCCGTGCCCGACGCGGTCCCGCGGCGACCGGTACTCGGCGCCGCCGCTGGTGTTGAGCGGACCGACCTCGCTCTCGAAGCCGGCGAGGTAGTAGCGCGCGCCGATGAGCTTCCGGTTGCACGCCGTGGCCGGGTCGAACTTCTCGCCCTCCACACACGTGCCGCGCCATGACGACGGGATGTCGCCTAGGTGGCCATCATCCCTGAAGCTCTGGGATTCAGGCCACACACCTGAAAAAACACATGAAAAAGAACAGATTCATCGTGTAAGGGCATGTTCAATCAAAGCCAATCCTAGAGGACACTCATGTCTCAATGGATCATACCCTAGATGAGCTTCTCAAAATCTGAAACAACTTAAGAGCAAGTTTAATAGTATAGCCCACTATTAGCTCCAATTTATCTATAGTCAATTCATACAATAGTTGCTTACTATATTATTAATATATGGTCCCACATGTCATACACACATTGTACATTGTGTCTTAGAGTCCGTGCTGCAGCTGGCTACAGATCTGTAGCCCGCTGCTCTGCTCTCTCATCTTTTATCTCACTAAAATATATTTACAGCCGACTAATAGTCTGCTATTGTATCTCAGCCGACAAAGTCCCATGTTTACTTTTACTTACCTACCCTAGTTTCTCTTTCCCGCCCCCTCTTCTCTTTTTCTTCGCACTCGCCTCTCCCTCCTTTTATTTTCGCCGCCGCACTCGCCTATCCCGTCGCCGGCGGCCGCGAGAACGACGAGGAGGGCCGCCTCCCTGCCTCTCTCTCGTCGCCGCTCGTCCACCGCTGCCTCTCTCTCTCCCTCTCGCCGCCGCCGCTCGCCTCTCCCTCTCGCCACCGCCGCCGCGAGGACGACGAGGAGGGCCGCCTCTCCCGTCGCCGGCGTCCACTGCCGCCACTATCTCTCCCTTTCTCCCGTCGCCGCCCGTCGCCGTCCTCCCCGGCATCCTCCGCCTCACGCCGTCGCCGGTCGGCGCGCGCCGTGCGAGCATGCGTCCGTACATCCCCAAGCAAACCTTCGCTTTCTGCCACTCCCTCCTCTCCTCGCGTCTCCTCCTCCCGTCCGCCGCCGCCGCCCCCACGGCGCCGGCCCTACCCGTGCAGGCGCTACTCACCACCGCCGGCCTCCTGCCGCGCCACCCCGACCTCTCCCTGGTCGCGCTCAACTCGCTCCTCCGCGTCCTCTCCCGGCGCGCCTCCTCCCCGGCCCACCCGCTCCTCGCGCTCCGCCTCCTCCTGCTCATGCTCTCCCCCGCCTCTCCCCTCCCGCCGCCCGACCACCTCTCCTTTCCCTTCGCGCTCTCCGCCGCCGCCACCGTCTCCCCGTCCCCCGGGGCCCAGCTCCACGCGCTCCTCGTGAAGAATGGCCACTTCCCCTCCGACCACTACGTCACCACCGCGCTGCTGCAGCTGCAGCTGCACGCGGCCCGGCCGGATGACGCGCGAAGGGTGTTCGACGAATTGCCCAGGCGGGAGGCTATACATTACGACCTGGTGATCGGCGCGTACACGCGCACGGGGATGGCGGGCGAGGGGCTGGGGGTGTTCAGGGCGATGTTTGTGGATGGGGTGGCGCCGGACGCCGTTGTGCTCACGACGGCCATCGCGGCATGCGCGCAGGCTGGCGCGCTGGAGTGCGGGGAGTGGGTGCACCGGTACGTGGAGGCGAGCGCGCCGTGGCTGCTCGGGGACGCGTTCGTCGGGTCGGCGCTGGTGAGCATGTACGCCAAGTGCGGCTGCCTGGAGCAGGCGGTGCGGGTGTTCGACGGCATGCCGGAGCGGAACGACTACGTCTGGGGCACCATGGTCGGCGCGTTTGCGGTGCACGGCATGGCGGAGGAGGCCGTGTCGTGCCTGGACAGGATGGCGAGGGAGGACGGCGTGCGACCGGATGGCGTGGCGGTGCTTGGAGCGCTCTCCGCGTGTGCGCACGCCGGCAAGGTGGAGGACGGGCTCAGGCTGCTCAAGGAGATGCGCCGCCGGTATGGCGTCGCGCCGGGGCACGAGCACTACGCCTGCACAGTGGACATGCTCTGCCGTGTCGGTCGGCTGGAGGACGCGGTGGCACTGATCGAGACAATGCCAATGGCCCCGCTCGCCTCCGTCTGGGGCTCCGTCTTGACCGGCTGCCGGACATACGCCAACGTGGAGCTGGCGGAGGTGGCCGCCGCCGAGCTCGGCAAGCTCGGCGCCGACGAGGGTGTGTATGTGCAGCTCTCCAACATCTACCTCGACTCCAACCGGAAGGACGACGCGCGGAGGGTCAGGAAGCTGATCGGCAGCCGCGGCATCAGGAAGGTCCCCGCGTACAGCGCGGTGGAGGTCGACGGCGTGGTGAGGTCGTTCGTCGCCGACGACCAGGCGCACCCGCAGCGCGTGGAGATATGGGAGGTGCTCGGGCTGCTTGCCGACCAAATGGGAGAGGAGCCGGACGAGGAGGAGGCCATGGCCGCGCTCTCGTGACAGGGAGAATCGGAGAGAAGTAGGTAGCCGAACTGATTTTTCCCTAGAGGTTTTATCAAACACAACTGCACAAAGAGCTGAGAGCCTGAGATAGCAGCTGGTATTTATGGAGGAAAAGAATCTAGTGGGAGCTGAGGTTTATCAACACATTACACATTGATCTCAGGCCATTAGAGAAGAAGGAAGATAATAAGTAGGCTCGCTGATGCTGTAATGTATGAATAGTTCCCTAACATCAGAATTTAGAGAGGGAACAAGAATTTTTGTTGCAAGAACTCACACTTTTTTGTTTGCATGCCTTAGCTTCAGTTTTGCACCGTAAGTCTTACAAATTCTAAAAGAAATGAATGATACGATTCTTTTTCCGATCTTCGCTCCTGCTTTGCCAACTATATTCCGGTCCGGTGCGAAGCAGGTGTATGCGGGGACACCTGCTCCATGCGCTGTGGGTGCGCCTGGTTCCCGTGGGACGGGGAGATGGCTGCGGAGAGTGCGAAGGGGAAGGAGAGGTGGTCGGGCGGCGGGAGGGGAGAGGCGGGGGAGAGCATGAGCAGGAGGAGGCGGAGCGCGAGGAGCGGGTGGGCCGGGGAGGAGGCGCGCCGGGAGAGGACGCGGAGGAGCGAGTTGAGCGCGACCAGGGAGAGGTCGGGGTGGTGCGGCAGGAGGCCAGCGGTGGTGAGTAGCGCCTGCACGGGCAGGGCCGGTGCCGGCGCCGTGGGGGAGGCGGCGGACGGGAGGAGGAGGCGCGAGGAGAGGAGGGATTGGCAGAAGGCGAAGGTTTGCTTGGGGATGTACGCCCGGCGCGCGGCTGGAATGACCGTTTGTTTAGCTTCGAGCCCTCCTGCGCATTTTCACAGTAGGAGTACATGAATGAGTAGTAAAAGAAATGCTAGCTTCAGATCTTCGCATCGCATGCCAAGATGCAAGACATGATTTTATCTTTCATCTCAAGTTTGCTCATTTCATTTGTCTGAACACAAAGGTCAGAGGGATCGATCACCATTCAGCTGATCAGCTCGAACTTCTCGCGATGTGGTTGGACCACATGTTTTTCCGGCTAGAACACCATGCACTTCATGTTTGGGAATATAGAGCAACAAATATATGAGAGTGAAACTGGAATTACAGGTATATGAAACTGTCAGGAAATTTACCTGTATCAAGAATACCGACAATTATATCGTCTCCGTATTTCAATTGCATTCCGGCTGATTGTTCATTCTGAATATGCAGGCTGAGGCCCATGAAGTCCCAGCTTCTTGTTGTATGGATCTCGAGCATCCTACTCCTGAATATTGATATGACCTCTTCTGCTTCTGCTCATATAATGATCATTGGAGTTTTTGGTAAGTTCATGGAAATTAACTAGGTAGATACAGGTATATTCTGAGAACAAAGTCAACGGGATAAAGGTAAATGCATACCAGATAATTTGGCAGCTTGCGTTGAATTGAGCATTGCAGCAAAACCAGAGAATCCATAGCTGTAGCTATACAGAATAGCATCTCTTGCTTCATCCGACCTACAAAAGTTGAGCTCACAAGTGACGCTTCACTCTTCAGCCACATTTTCTCGCCAAATAAGAACAAATATATCTAGATTCTCTAAGCTAAGGGGTTTGAATTTTCTAAATTAATAATTCAACTTTAGCCTTTTTTTAATCTAGATACAGTGTTGCGCAACAATAGCTCATGTGAGATGATGAAGTTTTTGCACTCCATATGACTATTTTGGCACATTCAACTTCAAGTATACCTGGTGTGTCTTTTGTTATTTGTCTTTAATTTGAGTAGAAAAAAGGACAATCAATTACCTTGTAAAGACTCCTGATAGAAGTTGGAGATGAAGACTTGCAGTAAGGGAAGCATTGAGGCCATCGTTGTGGCCCAAGTACACAATATGAACCTGAAAGACAATAGAAAGCACAGGTATAACTATAACATGAAACACATGATTTCACAAAAAGATGAAAAAACAGTAGTAACATCTGCAAGAAAAATCTACATGCGAATGTGATTCTTGAGTGGATTGAATGGGATGATATGAGAGAAAGGAAACAATGAGAAGAAGCAGAAAAACAGCCATTGCCTTTACACGATGAAGTTACTGCAACGGGAGAAGAGATATATATATAGACAGAGGTAGACAGAGGACAGAACATATGATTCTGTGGGGGACGTGCTTGTGCCATGCTGTAGGGTGCTTGCAAGACAAGCTTTCCAAAGCTAACAAATGGCTCTGACAATCCTCCATGGGCTGCATCATGCCTCAGCCTTGTCCATCTAGTGATCTAGTCTATAGATGCCTGATGCGATGATTAAATCTATAGAGTTTAAGTACAGAGAGTCCAGCTACTGTACAATGCAGTAGAAGATAACAAACCTAAGGGGTTTGGTTTGTTAGTAGAGGCCTAACCTTCTTGAACTCGTGTTTTAATCATCTTATCTAGTGCTCTGTTAGACATAACTGGCAAAAAGACACCCATCTACCAGCTTTTGAGATCCTGTAAAGGCTAACCTCATGGTTTTCAGTTTAAATAGCTGCTAAAAGGCTAAACTCTAAGGTTTAGAGTTCAATTAAATACACAAGGTGTCTTCAACACATTGTGCTCAAATCATTAGACCTTGAAGATATACTTTAATGACAAGATAAACTTATGCCTACCATCAGCATCGAGGTTTCAGCAAACTACAGCGAGAAATGCATAATACTTGAATAGAACCTAAAATATCTAGTAATTGTTCCCCTGAACTCTTTTCTAGTATTTGTCAACCATTTATAGCATAAGTAAAAAGGTAACAAAATATCAACATAGTAGCCATGCACTATCAACTTTTATGTACAGTTTCTAATGCCAATAATTACATTCTCACTAACCATTACTTAATCCGTGAACACTCATGGCAGTGCAAATCTAAAAAAAATACAGAACAATCATACTTTGAGGGAAAAAAATAGTTCCTAATCTGTATGGACCATGCTTATTTTGGTATGGTATAATCCTTCACGCCCTACTTTACAGGCATTCAACCACTTGCACTCAATCAACTAATATATTTCAGATGGTTGTAACTTGTAAGTGGCTGGTTGTGTAGATCTAGCATGCGTAGTAATTAAGTGGTAGGCATATCATCTAGCATTGCACAGAATTAAAGAGCATGCTTATAGAGCCAACCTCATTGCAACTTTTTAACTGATGATGAATAAACTGTTTAGGGGGCCTTAATAAGATGGAAATATCCTTTTTACATGCTATTATAGACACTCAAGAACATGGAGGCAAACAGAAACCTGATTGATCGTGTGGTACGATTTTAGCAGGATATCTTGAATCACATCCAGTAGATATGTGCCCTGCACTTCAGTAATGCAAAGATAATAGTTTACAGAAGGAAATATGGAGAATCATTACAGGTATATAAAGAAGAACCTGAAGTATCCGACATACATACAGTATGAAGCTTACCGAACACCCCATGACATGAATTCAATCAATCACATTTCTTCACTTCACAGAAAAACCATGCTTCACCGACCATCAATCTTGCCTTTTCTGTGCATTATAATATGTAAATTTGCATCATTGGATACAACAGAGCAAACAATGGGTTCCATATGGGTTGGATCTGCATTCATGTTCAGTGGCTGCCTGCATTCATGTCAATTGATGATGTTCCATCCAATTGAGATTTGGGAGGCTGGTCGGTATTGTCAGAACAATGGTTTTGATACAGGAGTACATGTTTTTAGACTCACCGTAGAAGCTTACTGCATGGTGTACTATCAATTTTAAGTTCTGCATATTTTGTATAGTTATGAAACTTCAGATGCCAAATCATTTTCTGGCATCTGGGTGGCAACTGGCAAGGATGGATTGATGATGGCAACTGTCCATTCTACGCAGTTCATGAAAAATGAGTATACATTTTTTGCAGGAGGATTCTTATGGCCAGTTGCAGCCTTGCAGGTAGGCTTTCCAACACATGAACTCCTGAACCTTCATCAGACATGGGATGGAAACTGTGGAGTATTTATTGAACTGTCCTCCCAACCTGCCTTGCAAAGCATCAAACTCATCACTGTCAGCTGTGATATCTAGAGAAGTCGCATTGACAAGATTTTTCGAAGAGAGGGCAAAGTGTCCCAGTATTCCTGAAAAATCTGACCTTAAAAAGTCAATAGCACTCAAAATGATAATCATCTATAGGAACAAACTGAGAGAATGCAGATTATGGTTATGCATGAAATTCAAGTTATGCCGCGTCTAGTAAGATCAAGCTCTGTATCATGTAGTGAAGCCAGAATCCTATCCTATATAAGCTACAAAATTGCAAATGAACATGAGAATGTCATTTATTTTTTTTTATAATTTCCACAAGTTTCTAAAAGTCAATGCTACGATTCAGAAAAATAGACTTCCATCAATTGGACAGTTCAGGCATACTTGTACCTAAGTTTAGTCCACCACCACTGGCTTGTCAGAAATGTATTAACTGTGCTTGTTTTGTCACTTGGCCACTTGTACCTAAGTTTAGTCCACCACCACTGGCTTCAAAAAGTCTTGAATCAAATACTTAAGTCTAATCTGAACTATACCTTTTAAAGTAAGTAAAAAGAACTGTTTGACTATATTGGGAGTTCATGGCAAGGTAAAAACCATTAATTTGCTGAAACACTGAAACTGCAACTACATAATGAACTATTGTAATAACAGAATAAGAACAATCATCAACAAATACAGAAGATTTATAATAAAAAAATAGAAAGTAAAATGAATAAGAGCATGCATCAGCCTATTGTAGCTGATAGGTTGCAATTAGGACTTACAAAAAGCACACAGTACGCTGATAATAAAGACTAGAAACTAAGAGTTAAAAATTAGGGTTTTAATTGCCAAATGACAAGATTAACAAGCACTACTTTATTTGCCTTTAGGGCTTTCTAGGACCAGACAACTATGGAAGCCCAAGTGGACCCCGTTTCTTTGACGTAACAAAACTTTACACAAAGCCTTACAGACTTGTGCTAATAGGAGTTATTGATTTTATTGCTTCAAAGAAGAACTCAGGTTTTGTTTTTTCTATTTTATTTTAAGGTGTTGAATTTCCGAAGAGTGTATTCTTCCATGACATATAGATGGTTAACTACTCCAACTCGATGGCTGAGAGAAAAGTGAAATCTTAACTTTCCCTAGAATCAGCTCTTTACTATCATGTCCCTTTTCTTTGATATTTTGTAGGTGAAGGCTACTCTCATGAGTAATAGATTTTGAGATGTTAATCTGTTAAATTAGCATGACAATGATATCATACTATTTTGATGATATGCCAACTGTGAGTTGCTGCAAGCAGCATTCGAACCTAAACAAAATATCCCCTAGATGTCACACCAAAGTATGCTCACTCTAGTCAATTAACTTCTTTCACACCAGCCACAGACGAATCTGTCAGCACCCTCAAGGTGCAAATAGTCATACAAAATCCAAAGACAATCCGAATTTATACATCCTAGCAGCCGGTGTCGACATAATTAGGACTAGCACAAAATGGACAGCCAAGAAGAAGTGCAACACCAGCTGGAGCTCACACAATCCAATCACCTAGAATTTAGCCTTATTTAAGCACTGGTGAGATCAAAATTGGGCAACCTAATAGCGCACTACCCACAAACATACAGAGCTCAGCACCACTACTCTCACAGGCAATCAGTCGAACACTTGGCGGGCGCATTAAGATTAATCTCAAGCAGACAGCCCACACCGATCCAAATAGAAGTATATATTGTTTGGTCACACCGACATGCTTATTTGTTCACTAATGTCGTGGTTTAGCATTCGATCAAACGAGAAACTGTTCCTATACAATGCAACAAGCAATTCACATTTCACATTGTGTTGCTGAGCCCCAAGGGGACATGGACACCTCCCCTAGTCAGAGAACTCCAAAGACTAATCTAATAGAGTGACAGGATCACCAACCTAATCTAGTAGATAATTCAAGATGTAACTATATGATGCACATGTAGGAACAGCCTAACTGTAACTGCCTCTAGTGGCCTAGTGGGTGCAGGCCCCATTGTGCTGTATCTGGAGCCACATTTCTTGATCATAAACTAAGGCAAAGATTAGGCTAACCTGGGCATGACAATTGTCTGGACATGAAGAAGAGGATGGAGGGAGACAGTGACACCCCCAAATTGGACAAAGAGCAGATGTTTTGTACCTAATGGGATGAGGAGGAAAGGAGCAGAACTCATCAAATGGTGGTGCTAGTTGGTGATGGCTTTGGTGGGTGTTGGGCTTGGAAGATTGGCACTGGTCCAGGTCTCTCTCTCTCTCTCTCTCTCATCCTCATGCCCAGCCAGAACAGCGGCCAAGTCCAAGAAAAATTTCCACTAGAACACAAACTCTTGCGGCGATTGCAACCTCTCCTCTCCCCCCTGGAGAAAAAAGTCTTTTTTTGGGGATTGCAAACCTGGCACTGTGATTCAGACATCCACTTGGCCCTCCATCAACAAAGGTTAATCATCACCAGGAAAAGAAAGGAAGAAAGAAAGAAAGCGAATGCTGCTACTGCTACTACCACAAGGAGGGGTGAAAAAGGAGGGATTTTTATTCTTCTAGCAGCAAAGAAATGGGGATTAGTGCAGTCATAAGTCTTACCTGTGGCCGCAGTTACTGAGTAGGAGTAGTGATTAGTGGGTGGTGATGGGCACCACTAGTCACCACCATATCCAAGTCCACCAAGAAACCCCATCATTCCATCCATCCATCTCACTGAAAGATCAAGATTCAAGCAGCAGATGGAGGCTAGATGAGTGCATTCCTTGCAACTCCCAACCACAACCAAGAAAGCAGTTTGGAAAGGAGTGAGGGCAAAGCAAACCCAACCAAACCCAACCAAGGTCAAGGGGTCTCAAGTCTCAACTCCAAAAGCCAATGGAATCTAGGAGGAAGAGACATGGAGGAGAGATGGCCACCACTACACTCTCCATTGTCCCACTCAAACTCAAGTGCACCCCTCTTCTTCTTTCTTGGTGGTGGTGAGTGTACTGCCTTTATCTGCTGTCTGATTGCTGCATTTCCTACTCCCCTTTTTATCCCCTTCCACAAAACCAAAAATCCAAAGAAAAAGAGAAATCTTCCATACCCTTCTTAAATGCAAGATCCATGCCGTTGCTGTAAAGGATGTGTTTATGTATAAAAGGAAACGGACTACCAGAATTGAACTGTTCAGCCATTCCGTTCTTTTTGCCCCCTTTGCGTTTACCCTTCGGTTTCTCCTCATTAAACACATGATAAATACAGACAGGGATGTTTCGGTTGAGACCTTCGTTTTCATCTCTGCGTTTTGTTCCTTCTGAGAAAGCTCTCATATGAGAACAAAAAGCCCAAAATCTTTTCTCTTGGTGGTTCTTTTCTTCTTCTAGATTTATCCCCATTTTTGGCTGGGCCTTCTATTTAAGAGAGCCTGTTCTTCTTCTAGTCCTGATAGTATTAAGGCTCCTTCTGTGTCAAAGAATCAGCCATCAAACCATTTTCTCATTGCAGACATCTCTGCCTGCTGCCTCCTCTTCTTGGTGTTCTGGGTCAGACAGAGAAAGCTGAGTTGTTCTTTAGGAATTGGGTATTATTTTTTTTGAAAGCGCGGAATTGGGTATTATGGGTAACTGCTGGTTTAAAGGGAATCCATACTTTAACAGGGTTTCTTCCAATGCAACAAAATCAGGTACCACTGTCCTTTCTTGGTTTGGTCTATGTGATTATGAAGTTGCAGCTCTATGGTGCAATACTTTCTATTATTTGTTTGATCCTAAATATATAGAGAGCTACATGTTCATTTGCACTGTTTGTTAATGAATTGAAACTGCTGCCGATTTTAGCAAAAAGGAAATCCTAATAATTCGAAGGACATGCCTGCCTCAATGCATAATGAAATTACTATTCCGTTCCTGCAGAATTAGTTTGATCCTTTTAGGTGGCTATACTTATTGTTAGTGTTTTTTTAAAAAAAAAATCAAGTCAATTACCATAAGTTCTCATTATGCCATGTGAAATTTTGTTTATCTTGAGAAACTCATGTTTAGCCTATCTTCACAAAGCATTCCTAATCATTTATAATCTATGCTTTAGGTACTATCAAGCCAGTGACATGCTTATCTTTTTGTTGTTACAGAATCACCTAAAATGCAGAGCCCATCTGAGAGAAAAGAAAAGGATGACAGCATGCTGCCGTCGAACGCGAAAGAGGTGGAGGAACTGAGAAGGGAGTCGGCTCGGAACCCTCTGATAGCATTCACATTTGAGGAGCTCAAGAGGATAACAAAAAATTTCAGGCAGGATTCATTACTAGGGGGAGGTGGATTTGGTAGAGTCTACAAAGGATACATCACCAGTGATCTTCGCGAAGGATTAACAATAGAGGAGCCACTGCGAGTCGCAGTGAAGGTCCATGATGGAGACAATAGTTTCCAGGGGCATAGAGAGTGGCTGGTGATTGGCCTTTCTGATTAGTACTATATTGATAAAAGCATGATTTGTATCAAGTTATTATCTTGATATGTTCTTCCATTCTTTGCTTTCTTGTTGTCAGATATAAAATTATTTTTCTTGTTTGCAGGCTGAGGTCATATTTCTTGGGCAGCTCTCTCACCCAAATTTAGTGAAGTTGATCGGGTATTGTTGTGAAGATGACCACAGAGTACTTGTTTATGAGTTCATGCCCCTGGGAAGTGTGGAATCACACCTGTTTTCGAGTAAGGCTAAACCATGTTGCTTGTTTTGCTGAATTTCAATTTTACCTTCATAATGTAGCACTTTATCTTTTGATTACATGAGTCCAACAGTGCGAGTGTGGAACAGAATTCAGATACGAGAGAATTAAAATGGGATTTCCATTTTATATGATACACTATGCAATAAATCATTTTTCTTTTGACAGATGCAATAAATACTTTAATATGCTGTTGTCGACGTGTTCTTAGGTTGTGCCTATCATCTACTACCTATGAATCACAATCCTTTTTCTTTCTAGATACTGCATAACCAATGTGATGATCAATTATGCATTATCTGTTCATTTAAATCAGCCACTATATTTGTTATTTGTTCAAGTACTGATATTTACTAACACAGGGGTAATGGTACCACTCCCATGGTTCACCAGAATGAAAATTGCACTAGGTGCAGCAAAAGGACTTGCTTTTCTTCATGAAGCTGAGAAGCCAGTCATTTATCGGGATTTCAAGACATCAAATATATTACTTGATGAGGTAGATGGAGTTTTTTTTTTTATCTTAACCGTCATGTCATATCTCATTTGCCTAACATTAAAATTTCTTGCAACTTGCAAGGAGAACCTACACTTGTTTCGGTTCTGCTGTTTAAATGTTCTTATTCAAGAAAGTTCATGCCAACTGAATTTAATGATAATGGGGCATAAATTAGAATTAGAAATTTTTCTCTAGTAAAATGTCCTATAGTTGATAGTAAAGTGTTGTTGTCTGATTTTTCATGGACCATATGGTTGCCATTTTCTTGTTTGATTCCTGAACTAATTTGGTGTATAGGAATACAATGCGAAGCTCTCTGACTTTGGGCTCGCAAAAGATGGACCAGTCGGCGACAAATCACATGTTTCAACACGAATCATGGGAACCTACGGTTATGCAGCCCCGGAGTACATCATGACAGGTAGTGCCATCTTCATCTTGCATCTCTAAATGAACAATAAGCCTAGTTATCACCAGTTAACATCCTAGCCAATTTAGGTTGATGCCAATAGCTCAATGCCTCAATGCCAACTGAACTTGGCCTGCCACTGTAGACATGACCTGATCCCTTGACACTGAACAAAACAAAGGGCATTGCTAGATCAGTATCTGAATCTTGAACAGACTAATATACTTCTACTTCACCTGACCAATGTTCTGTTTTTTCTGCTACTTCAGGGCATCTGACAGCGATGAGCGACGTATACAGCTACGGGGTCGTGCTCCTTGAGCTCTTGACAGGGCGCAAATCATTGGACAAGTCCAGGCCAGTCAGGGAGCAGACATTGGCAGACTGGGCATTCCCAATGCTGATACAGAAGAAGAAGGTTCTTGGCATAGTAGACCCCAGGCTCGCCGAGGACTACCCGGTGAAGGCAGTCCAGAAGACGGCGATGCTGGCCTACCATTGCCTCAACCGCAACCCCAAGGCTAGGCCGTTGATGCGCGACATTGTCGCCACCTTGGAGCCTCTTCAGCAGATGGAGGAGGATCCCAGTATCAGTTTGGTTAGTGGCACTGAAGTGTGAGAGCTTCATCTTGTTCAGACTTCAGAGAAACAAAGATGCCATATCACCATATGTTTGATCATAGTAGCTAATTGAGTGCTTGGTCTGTATATAGTAGGTAATTGAGTTTTGCTAAGAAGGTATATGTAATATAGTATCATTTTAGGTTTGTTTGTGTATCTAATGTTTGACATGGGAAGTGGTTTTTTACCCTTCGAGGAGATGTCCTCTTATCTTATGTACCTTTACCTTTTATAAACTAGGTGAAACCCCGCGCATTGCTGCGGGAATTTAGTATGATAACAAAAAAAATAACGTGTAAGATAGCTAGATAACATCAGATTAAGTAAATTAATATGGTTTATGATAATTTAAATTTAAATAGTATGTAAATGGTGATTGAAACGTAAAAAGTAAGGTGGTATGATTTTATGGAAGAAAAAAAGTAGGGAGATAGTTTGGACTGTAGATTAATCATCTAAAGGCTAAAACCAATTGATGTGATATGACTTAATTAGAGGAAAAAAGGAGAAAGATAATTTGGACCATAGATTAATCATTTAAGCACTAACTAAGTGAGGATGAACTATATAAGTATATAAGATATACATTAAAACATTATGTGAATTATGTTGGATGATAATTTAACATGTTTATATTTGAAAAGCTCTTAAATTATAATAACTATAAAAATATAGCATGTTTGCATAATGTTTAAATGTGATGATTTGTTAGTGGATGATGATGTATCATCTTGTTAATTAGTGGATGATGATGTGCCATCTTGTTAGTGAATGATGATGTGACATCTTTGCATGTTAAGTTTAAGGAGTTAGTGGGGGATAACTTTATAGTAAGATAGGATACAATACAAATTGTTATTAAAATTTATTAAAATTTGACAATATAACTTATATTGACATAACCTCCATAAAAAATGAAGTCCGAACTTCATACACAAAGCCAGAAATAAAAACGACAGATATGATAGTGAATAGGGCAAGCACTTTTCATAGTATATATTTATCTTTTTTTTTCATGGTGTGTAAAATCACTTTTCCATTTGATGCGCCAATTTTTCAGAATGTGTTTGACAGGCCATATATAATGTGTTTGACACTATATAGTTGTTGACAATGCTGCTCAGGGAATGTTTTGCTTTACAATTGACAAACGGCATCAAGCAAAGGCATTTCACACATTATTATTTATTAAAAAAGCGAGTCAATTGTGATAGACAACATATATATCGATAACAAGATGATTATGCGCGTATGTTTATGAGAGTGAGTGTACACACGAGTACCATGTTTTTTTTTTTAAAAAAAATATCGGTTGAAAAAAAAAGGAGAGAGAAACCTAAGCTGGTTGACCACAGAAATACGCCTTCGCCTTCCACGATGGATGGCGTAAAGTCGTGGAGACGCCTTCCAATTCCATGCCTTTTCCAGTGAAACAGCTTCGTGCTCCGCAGCAGCGAAGCTCCAAATCCAAAACCGAAATCCCCAATCCCCCCCATTCCCCGAATTCCCCAATCCATCGCGAATCCGATGAAGAACCCTAACCCTCCTCACCCCAAGCACTCCTCCTCCTCCGCCGCCGCCGCCGCGATGGCGCCCCGCAAGTCGCGCTGGGGCCCGCCGCCGCCCGCCGGGGAGAAGGGGGCGGGGGCGGCGTCCACCTCCGCGCGCACCCCGACCCCGACCCCGTCTACGGCCGGCGACCCCAGGCGGCATCCGCCTCCTCCTGGCCCTGGCGCGCGCAACCCCGCCGCGTCGTCGGCCGCCGCCTTCCGTCCTCCGCCGCAGCCGCAGCAGCAGCCGCGGGTGGAGACCCCTCCCCCGCCGTCGTACGGCTTCCACAACCTGGACCGCCGCACCATGCTCCTCGCCGACGGCAGCGTGCGCACCTACTTCGCCCTGCCGCCTGATTACCCCTTCGAGCTCACCCCTCTGCCCCAGCTCCCGCACCTCCCGCGCGGGGCCGGCCATGAAGTCTGGCCGCCGCATCACCCGCCGCCGCCGCCGCAGCAGCAGCAGCTGCAGCTGGCGCAGCACGACGCCAAGCGGAAGCACCTCGCCGAGCACGACGAGGGCTTCCACAGCAGGCACCCCAAGCAACCCCGGTTCGAGGCGGCACCGCCGCAGCAGCAGCAGCTGCCACCGCATGCCGCGGTGGACCGGCACGCGCTCAGGAGGGCGTTTCTCAAGTACGCCAAGATGCTCAACGAGAGCGCGGCGCAGAGGCGGAGCTACCTTGAAGGTGGACGCGTCCCCTGCCTTGCCTGCGGCAGGTTTGGTGATCCCGCATTGCTTGTCACTTCCTTCCTGGCAAGCTTTCTTGTATTGTTTGTAGTCAGGTTCTTGCGCTGGTTTCTTTCCATCGTTGAGCTCGCTCTTACTCTTACTCTTTGACTTGGCATGGCTTTACTGCTTTGCTGTTTGTTTCTTTTTGACATAAACTGACGTTCATACTATGTTCTGCCTGTCTGAATGGAGATATCCACACCACCGTATTTCATTTTGGTGGAAAATGCTACCCGATAGGACTGTGTTTTTCCATGCTGCTTACTTTGCACGAATTATATAGCTGGGCAATGGATGACTACTCTAGATACCGGTAGTGATACTAGGAATGTTGATGCGAGCTGTAGTTCTAGTATAGCATCATACCCTTATGGTTCCTAAAATTATTTCCCGTTAGTCAAGATTTTTTTTCTGTGGTAAGAGTTGACATTACTGTGTTCTACTGGACTAGTAATTTGTTACTGCGGCTTATAGAGTTCATTTGTACTTTCGACTGTTTGTGGACCTTGCCCCCACAGCTAACACTTGTGGTTTGTTTTGGCTCTTTCTGGCCTCAGAAGATCAGAGTAAAGTGGTATTTTACTTTTGTGATTAGAATTATAGATAGAACCGAAATGCTTTCTTTTCTATATTCAGTTTAGTAATTTTATGCCACTGTTGTTTGAAATTTATGTTACTGTGAACCTTGTGAGGTATCCATACATAGCTACATTTTTTGAGAGCTGCATTGCTGTGTTAAGAGTTCTGATTCTGTGTACTGCAAAGAACACTGTTCTGATATTAGATATAATCATATAAATTTCATGTCCTGTTCCACTTCTTGCTGCAGGGTAGTTATCCATATTAGCAAGTGGCAAGTACCGTAAAGATTTGCCACTAATATCGTGTAGTTTTGGTTGTGGATAAGTATTCTCAGTGTTAAGTTAGTTTATCCCTAGCTGAACTTTTATGGATGGTGTGGTAAATTATGGTAATGAGCTTGTGATAGGTGAGATGATCCTGGTTGAACCGTTAGATTTTGGAGTACAGTTATGGATAAACCAGGTTGACCCATTGTCCTCTCTCCCATGCCACCTAAATTAGAAAAAATACGCTGCGATCACTGATTTTCGATCTTTCAACCTCCTGCCTCAAATGCCAACAGTAGACAAACTGCCCAACTAAACATTTCAGGCTTGTTTGGCTCGTAACATACTTTATTAGACTCATATTTAGGCAAGTTTCAATGTTTATTCATGGCTGCACATGTGTGGATTGCCTTTTCTGTAGACTCTGGTGAGAATGCCTTTTGCTACCCAAAGTTTGGCCCTGATTTTGATGATCTGACTTTACGTGTGTTTACCGAAACATTATGGCGACATTAGAAATGAACTGAATATGCTCGATAATCAATCAACAAACTTTTGGTGCACAATACAGAATATTTTTAGTAAAATAGCACGCCTTCTTAGATCTGATGTCTAATGAGGAGACATGTTATATACACTGATAGACAAAATATTTTGAAGGGCCAATAGACGAAATATTTTGAATGGACAAAAAAAATCAGTATGACGTAGAAAGGATCTCATTGCAAGATTCAACCATAGTTGAAAAGGATGGATCATACTGGCGTTTTAATCAGAAAAAAACCTAGAAGTCGATCTCAGCTTGGTTTGGTTGCTTGAGAAGACTAATTGTGTACTCGGACTGATTTGAACCGCTCAAACCTGACGGTTTTCAGGTGAACTAGGCATTAAACTAGGATCAGTTGGACTGGGTGGGGCTCAAAGAGTGTTTCTAATTGCGAGTGGGGCGCCAAACCAAGGCCCACTTCCTTCCATCAAGGCCTGCAACATAATCTGTTTTGCAAAAAATAATGCTGAAAAGGGCTGTCGGGTGGGGATTCGACCCTAGGTCTTCACGCTGGGGCAGCCTCACGTTGCCATCCTACCACCAACTTGGTGCAGTGTAGAAGGAAACATGCATCTTAGATGAATGTTTCCGAACCGTGGTCCATGGTTTAACTGCCCAATCGGCCGGTCTGAATGCCAGACTGATGAACCAAGAGCTTAGATGGTTCACCCTCTGGTCCAACTTGTCTACTATATGGATTCAACACTTAAAATGGGCGTTGCATCTGTGACCAAGCACAGAATATTTTCATATTCTTATGTACTGAGGACCTGATCACCAACATCGCTCTAGAATATTATAGTGAGGGTGCATAATGCCATAAAGCAATTCAAAAGAAAGTAGCGGAAAATGGGAACTTTTGATATTTGAAAGGTCAAACAAATGTTTGTAAAGGGACCACTTATAACCTGGCTGGCTACTTCTGATTTATTCCTTCTATAGGAAAATAAAGAAAAAAAATGAATGCGAGAAAATTTAGGTAAAAAATTATTGTGCTGAAAAAGGTATATAAGTTGCATTGGAATATTAGATAGTGGTCCCCTCATAGTCGCTCAGGCTTCTTTTTCAGCCATATGCCTGTCTTGCTTATCTATTCTATACCTTCTCCATGTATTCACTGATCCTTAAGCAACGCTTCCAGGCTTCCTTCGCCTAGCTGCGGTGGACTTATAAGTCGGATTTCTTACACAATCTTTTTTTTTTCATTTCCATGGTTGAGCCGTACTTTCCATGTAGAATATTTTCTTTATCTGTTCCTCAAGATTATCATCCTCTTGAAAAACACCAGTCAAAATGCCACATCAGGAAAATATCATTGCAAAACAGTTGTTAACTTTTTCTTCCAATAATTAGTTTTAAAATTTTGCTATCTGTAGTTTGTTATGCTAGGAGGTGTGTGCTTTAGCACCTAGGCATTAACGGTGCATGTGTTGTGCAGCTTCTGATGCTTTTTCCTTGATGTGTTTCACGTGAGCACATAGTTTAGTATGTCAGTGCTCAATTTGAATAGTCAATAGTCAAATGAACCATCTTGAAGGAGATGGAGTAGAAAGTAGAAATTACCTTGAGATTACGGCTAGCAATAATTATTACTATGTCTGCTACTAGCTGCCTCAACCTCAGACTGCTCCATAGGATCCCTTCTGTGACTTGGCTGCTTAATGCCATACAAAGATCGGGTGTCCTAGAACTTTGGACACAGCAGCTGGTGTGGGTTATTTAAACAGTACAAACCTGTCAGCATTATTTTTGCTACCATGGATCCTTTGGCATTAGAATCCTATCTTCCTGCTTTCATGTGACATATTTTTTATATGTATATTATGTGGCTTGGTATAATAAAGTTAAGATGTTTTTTTGGGCATGTGTAGACACGGTCAGATAACATATGTAATGAAGGCTGCATTAAGTTTGCAAGTATTCAGCTCATGTTCACCAAATCTTAATTTGTTTGTGATTATGTCTGGTCAATGTGCACAATTCCAGGTCTTCTAAGGACTTTGCTGATGTGCATGGACTTGTCATGCATGCTTACAACCCACCAAATGTGGATTCATTCATTGACCATCTTGGTTTGCACAAGGCACTATGCGTCCTTATGGGATGGGATTATACAAAAGTCCCTGAAAATTCTAAGGCATACCAGTCATTGCTCCCTGACCTTGTTCAAGCAAGTAGGGAGGACCTTATCATATGGCCACCAACTGTTATCATTCACAACACTGCTACAGGGAGGAAGAAAGATGGCCGCGCTGAGGGTTTGGGGAATAAAGAAATGGATAAGAAAATTTCAGGTATACTTGTACGTTGCTATCTCAAACTTCTTACATGGACAGTGTAGTGTTTGTGTGCAAGCACTTGTTGCATATATAGTTCATGTTAGTTGGATAAATGCATGAAGAAAATTAAGGGGTTTTATGGCAGGAAGCTCAGCAGCTTTATATACTGACTCTTCGAAGGCCCGCTTAACCGGAGCTTTTATTTCCAACTAAATGATAATTAGAAGTCATCTATTTCTGTTCAGTGTAACAGTACTATTAACCCAGGAATGCCATAGCCTGATAGCAGGTGAATCAGCAGGACCATTGTTATATCTTGCCCAAACTGATGGATCGGAGAGCGCTGAACATTTCTCATTATTATCTGTTGCTTGGGCAAATATGCCATGTGATAAGATTGACTAGGTGTATTGGCTTGCTAATGTCTAGACCAGTATTAGCTGTCCTGATACAACCTTGTATTATTTTTTTTTAAAAAAAAAGTTAGCAGGTAGTGGTTTGCTGTCATTCTATTTTTGCTGCAACGCAGAATTGCCTTGGCTGATTGGGCATACTGCTTAGGCAGTACCTTGGGGCATTAGTCTTGACTCTTGATGATGCATTCTTTCAAGCTTTATCTCTGCAGGAGCAATAGTCCCTTGGGCGTGGGCATATCTTTGGGTGCTATGTTTGACTAGAAATAGTAGTTACATCCAATGTTAAATATGCATTAAACTAAAGGCAACTTATTCCCGGAATACTGCACAAACCGTAAGGTCTTACACTGTCCATGCAAAACTATGTCCAGCCAAACGTTTAGGCAACACTAGGGCGCCTGGGTCACCTTTGCCTGTTACATTAACTATGTCCTGACCTAAAGGAACTCAATTATCTTGTCTTCTCAGTCGAGTCCATCATACAGATAAACTACTTCGAGTGGGCCATGCCGCATTCTTGATAGATCTGAAAAAAGGGTCTCTGCCCAATACTTGTCTTTGCCACCCATTTTGTAATTGAAGAATTTCAGCGCCAGTTTACATTTCACCTTTTTTTTGCTAAACTAGACATCTAATCTAGCAATGCTGTTTGAGTCTACAAATTAGAATTGCGGCATATTTGGATATCGAGAGATAAGATCACTTGAGAAATAGCATTCCCACTTCCCAGTTATGCAATTCTTGCTCTGCGGAGCATATGTTCGTGGAATAATGCCGTATATATCACAGTAATATTTGCTGTGTCAATCTATCTTTGTTTACAGAACTAGGTTTTGCTGGTGGCAAGTCGAAGTCCTTGTATGGAAAGGAAGGGCACTTGGGTTTGACACTTATCAAGTTTGCAAACAGCCCAGCTGGCTTGAAGGAGGCTGAGCGCCTTGCTGATTTCCTTGAGAGGCAAGATCATGGACGTATTGGTTGGTTGCATGCACGAGCCAACCAGTCTGTAGGTTCTGATAATAGCCCTTTACTGGTTGAAACAGATAACAGGACAGGCGAGAAAAGGAGGATACTTTATGGGTACCTAGCAATTTCATCTGATATGGATGAATTAGACTCTGATTCAAGGAAAAGGGCTTCCCTCAAGAGCAAGAGAGAATTTGACCCATCTGATTAGCCTCTTCTCACAAAAGCACATCTCCTTGTCAGTTTATTTAATTCAAGCGACGCTTCTGTACCTTCTCTTAAATGCTGGTTTACAAAATATGCTGCTGTGCACTAGAAATATTACCTTTGAAAATAGTACCTGCACTTAGGATGATTGTCATCGTTATTGCTCGAAGCTACATATCTCAGCAAGTGTTTTCTGAAAGCGTCCATTGCTTACTGATTGAATGGTTGTCCTGAAGAGTATTTATTCTTCCAATTTTATGATTACTAAATGTCTGTTGTGTGATCAGTTGCCTCTAATTTGAACTGTGATGTTAGTAGTGCCTAGATCAAGACATTGGCTCAATGATATCATTGGGCAATTGTCCCTATTCCTAACACTGTTTGGTCTTGATTGATGTTAGTTCATTATTCAGAGTAAAGGCGTGGGTGGGGGAATCAATACACTTTTTTGGTGCCATTGTGTTCATTGGAGGGACTTGCCATGCTCCTAGACAGCACCCTGTACCTTTCCGTACTGAATATTGATCTTTATATGTATACCCTCTTGCAATCTTCTTTGTTCAATTATATGATGGTAAGCCACTTAAACACCATTCCTGTTGTGCTGCATATCTTTATTCATTTTAGTTGGTGTTTGCAATTTGGGCAGCTGTGGAAGCTGATAAGATTCAGAGCACATAGTTGGTATATCTGTGTCATGACATTCCACCCTTGTAGTACTAGACATTATAATTTATGGATAGGATTAGAAAGTGATGCGGTTTGATTTAATAACCTGAACACTTGTGTATATTTGTTCTGCCATTCGATTGCTTTGGATAGATTTGAATCTCTTTTCAGAAAAAAGATGCCCCAGCCTCTCAGGTAGTGAGGTTATCCACCACCAGCTCCTGCCCGTTGTTCCAGGGCAAAAAAAAGAGAAAAAGGTGTGAATAATGTGGTACAGTTTCTCTTTCTATGTCGCAAAATGTATAAATATCTTCTACTCCTTCTATCTCAAAATGCAACTACCTGTGCCATCCTTAAGAGATTAAGGTTGCGGTAACCGGTAAGGAACAATTGTGATTGGTTGAGATGAGGAGATAGGTGGAGAAGTAGCTGTATTTGAGATAAATTTAAATACTTCTAAATTTAAATCCTAGAAGTAGCTATATTTTAAGATAGAGAGGGAGTACTATGCTAGACTAAACTGCTCTTTCATGGATACATATATAATGATATACATATCCTGTGGTGTGGAGTGCAGACTCTAGTCCATCTCCATGATAGTGCAAAATCTGCTTTTATCTTTTCTTGTTGGGAGCGTTGCCGGTGCTTGTGCCTGTCGCAATGCCATCTTCTGCTCCGTGTCATTTCACCTGTATGTCGGCGTCGCTGCCGGTCAGAAAGGAAGTGTAGTGCTGCTGGCCGGTGGTGGACTTGCCAGATCTTGTTTCTGATTGTATTGTTGTGCAAGATGCCGGTGTTTGTTGGTTGCTGCTCCAGCGCTGTTTCTGTTGCTGCTGCAGGGATCGCAACATGGCTGCACAAATGCACAATGTCCTTTTGTTCACATCTTGATGTCAAACTGGCTTTGTTTTCCAGTGACATACATTAGTCAGTAAGCAACTGAACTGGTCCCAAAAAAAACATGAAGTTTTCTGTAGAGACAGCGAAACTCATCTGTGTTCAGATCAGGTTGGTACAGTGAGTGAAGAGGTCTTCATGGGAAAGGCAGATAGATATATCTATTGATCTTTCTTCTCGGTTGCAATGTCAATGTCTCTCCTCACAGGCTTAATTGCTTTGCAGTTCGTCACTAATAGGACTCTTTTTTCTTCTTTAGAGGTTTTTGCTATCACGATGCATGAGTTTTGTCACGAAAGGAGAGAAATGTTGATGTCACTCAGATGTGATCCGTCCAACTAACACATACAGAGGTCATGCACTGTGCCAATTGGTTTTCTGTTTTGCACGGCACCTGCTTTTATTATTGCCAACTGTGGCTGGATCCAAAGAGGACCTCACTCCTCTCAAGGGAAGAGACCTCGTTTACAGGGTAGTTTACAACTTGTGTTAACACTGATAAGGACAGGTAAGAAGTAAACAGAATGCTGAATTCTCTGAAGACATATACAATTAGTGGCAGAGATTGTGATGGAAAGCCAATAAGATTGTACATACACATCCCAAATATTTAGTACTAGTAGCAATCATAATGGTTAGTACAGCTTATTACAACATCAACCACACAACAACAAATTCAGCCTTATAATTAGTAGGAAGTTCAGATAACCAGCAGAGAGAGAGAGCAGGAAAGATGAAATGAGCGAAACAGTGAAAAGATGACTCACAAAGATGGCCAAAAAGGCAAACACAAAGCAGCACATTTGGGGAAGCCGATATCATACTGTCTTCACCAACACGCTCACGCCTTAGAAAAAGTGAAAAGCTTTTGCATACGAACTGAACTTTGGTACGAAATTTCCAGACATATTTACAGCTAGCTAGACGACCCCGACATTTTAGAGTACAAAACATTTTGCTTGCGATTTTGCATGCAACGAGATTTTCAGTCGATCGTTCGAAGAATCTCGTACCAAAAATCTGTTCGTACGCAGCAATTCAAATAGAAAAGTGAGACCCAAAAAAAAATCAAAAAAATGGAAGAGAATTAAGAAATCAAGAAAGCAAAAGGGTTCAATGTGACTCGTGCAGGTGGCGGCCATGGCGCGGCGGCTCGCCGTCGTCGAGGTTGGCGGCGGCGGTGATGCGGAGGAGGAGGTCGGTGAAGGCGCTGACGACGTACTTGTGGGCGCGCCGGTCGTTGAGCGCGAGGTAGCAGAGGAGCAGCTCGTGGAGCCGCGCCCTGTCGCCGCGGCGGCGCGCGTCCAGCCGCAGCGCCGCCACCATCTCCTCCATCGACCTGAGGAAGTCGGCGTGCGGGTCCGGCGAGTACGTCGGCACCGCCACCCCGGCCGCGCCCACGCCGACGGCGGCGCCGTGCGCCGACGAGTCGACGATGGAGTTGGACCTGCCGGGCGAGGAGAGGAAGAACCGGCGCGACGCGATGGCCGACGACAGCCCGGAGTCGGACAGCGCCGAGGCGTTCTCAGCGACGACGGCGCCGCCGCCGCCGACACCATCGTCGTCGTCTTCACCGCCGACGCCGCCCGAGTTCTTGCACCGGAGCGAGGAGGACGAGGAGCACGGCGAGGTCTCCGCGGTGCAGCCGCCGCCGCCGCCAGCCGAGGTCGACGTCGACGCGTCGTCAGACTGCGCCATGGGCGCCGGCGCCGCCCCCGCCGACGCCGGCCGCCGCAGCCGGGAGAAGCAGCCCAGCATCTCGCCTATAGCTAGCTAGCTAGCTAAGCTAAGCTACTCCCCACTAGGCAGCTAAGCTTCAGCTAGGTAGCTACTACTCCTAGTCCTAGCTAAGCTAAGGACGAACACGATGACGTTGTGGGCTGTGCACTGTGAGGAGTTTATAGGAGAGGAGGCGTTTGCAGCTGTTCAGTGGCTCACCTGTTGCTGGACAAAACCGAGTTAAGTACTCCAAGCTGACTAAGCATGCATTATTTGTTCGGATTAATTACTCCTAAAGTCCTACCTATACTTAACAACATTAGCAACACGTGGATGATCAGTATCATCAGGAGATAGTGCCTTTTTCGTTTATAAATAAAAAAAAGTAAATGAGCAGCAGAAAATATCATACTACCATGCATTCTGTCTCAGACACTAATTAATTATCACATCATTGTATTATTCCTCCAAGTTAGTAATCCAAGTGTGATTAGGTCCAAACCAGCCCCATCTATTTCTTATGCTTATACTTATCAACCAAAATTTAAATTTTTAACTTTAAATATAAAGTTGATTTTGAGATTTTTTTCATCGAAGTTTATTTTTCAGCCTTTACTTTTAGATCGTTAAGAACACGTATATAAAAGTTTTATTCACAAATTACTTCTCGTTTGCAAATACGCGTTTGGCTTATTCCTACTGCATGATACTCCTACTACATGTAAAAAGCACAGTGTTTTGTACTTGGTCAGATCGATCAGCTACGCATGTACAGAAACTTAGCCTGCAAATGTATTGAGAGTTTGTACGCGTTCAACTACCGCATTTGCTTCGCAGTACATCTCTGCTTAGCTACTTGTGTGACTGGTCCTAACTGCGCTGTAACAATTCGCCACGCATTTTGTCCGTTTGTCGCCGTAAGTACGTACGTACGTACGCAATTCCAGCTAGCTCGTACGTACACATGCCCCCGCACCGAAAATCGCTAATCAGCTATTAGCCGCGCGCGATTGCTTTCTGAGCCCACGAATCTTTGTATGTATACGTGTACGTATAACTTTATGTGCATACGTATAAAGTTTGTGAGCATATAAGTGAAATTTTATACAAGTATGTGTGTGAACTTTTTTACATCCAAAATATATACACACGCGTACAAGGTTTCTATATAAAATATTTATATATGTACCATCCACGGGTGTGGGCGCGCGGCTGACCGCACGTTAGTGCCCCCTCCTCTATATATGTACATATATACATGTATTATATTGAGCATCAGGGTACTTTCTCCGTTTTTCAAAATGTAGATTGTTTGGTCGTGTTTTTTTCCTCCTAATAACAAGTCGTTAAATTTTAGTAAGTTTGATAAAGTTTATAGAAAAATACAGCAACAATCTTTAACCGCGAGGTGTATATGTGTGTGTGTGTGTGTGTGTCTATATATATATATATATATATATATATATATATATATATATATATATATATATATAGAGAGAGAGAGAGAGAGTCTGGAATCCAAACGTGACTAGCACAATACTCCCTCTATTTTTTAATAAATAACGTCGTTGACTTTCGAACACATGTTTGATCATTCGTTTTATTCAAAAATTTTATGTAAATATATAAGATATAAATTATGCTTAAAGTACTTTGACTGATAAAACAACTCACAACAAAATAAATTATAATTAAGTAATTTTTTTAATAAGATGAATGGCCAAACGTATGAAGTGAATGACGTCATGTATTAAAAAACGAAGTTAGTATATACGTACTCATGTCTGTGCCATACGGTGCGCGCGTGCAATAATCGTGCATGACGAGAGAGTACGTGTACTATACGTACGTGACCTGGTTGGTACTTGGTACTACGACGTGGCTAGCTAGCTGTGTGCATGGATGGGTTCACATGACCAATTGCTACCAGCATATCGATATGCAACGACACATTCAAGTCGATCGATCTGACGGGTCAATTGAAGCGTACTCATGTATAGTATACACATGTATGCCCGTACTGCAGGTAGTAGTTAGCCCTGTATAAATGTCGACCAGAACGAATTGATTATTAGTACATTGTACCGTATTATCTGCCTGATGTATCCCCGGCCTGTGGCCCCACATCGTCAGATTTAATACGTATGCTACTCAGCTGCCACCGCTGAATTTTCTTTGATTTTTTTACAGCATCAGTCTTAATTAAGCTACTCCCATTTACAGATAAAATATTTATGTCTGCATACTATTCACTGTATAAAAGTCAAAAGTAATAATAGAAAACAGATTACACAACTTCAGAAGCATTGAAGACAAAAACAACAAATTCGACTTTAAACAGGGCGCGTAATTCGTAGTTAAATTTATTTTTCTCTAATTATACGTATCGAATTTGAACTTTATATCCCCGCAAAAAAAAGAATTTGAACTTTATATAATAAAGTGATGCGTTACCTATTGATCGATCTTTCTTACCAAATTAATGTTTCTAAAAATTTTTATGACTTTTTTAGACGACATCGAAGGGCCATCGAAGGGCTAGCTGGAGTTTCTCAAAAAAAAAAAGGCTAGCTGGCTGATGAAAGAGGTTTCTTGTCACAATCTGGGAGAAGGTATACGTAGCTGTGAGCAGTGTACGTACGTACGTATGAGGTATACTCGACTGTCTACATCGACACTACACGTGATCTCCTGCCTTTCGCTCGCCCATCTCGATCTGTATCGCGTCTGTGTCTCTCACCGGCCTTTCGCTCGCCCATCTCGAAACTGGTTGTTTGATTAGGCAACAGGAAAACACGAAAATTGGATGAAAGAGATAGATTCATTTTCTAAAAGATTGGATATTTTTTTTTTAAGTTTCTTCTAAAATTTACGTGCAATGAGCCATTTTATAGGAATTTCAATTTTGAATGCTTCAATGTTTTGTATCAAAGGACCAAGTACGGAAATTTTATATAAGATTTAAATCTTACAAATTTTCCCATAAATCCTTTGATTCAAATGGATCTAAGTAAAGTATAGAGGATCCAGCTGGCTCGGTTTACAAATATAAACGAGACTATGTCTAGGGGTGTGTTTAGTTCCTGAAAAAAGTTGGAAGTTTGAAGAAAGTTAGGAGTTTGAAAAAAAAAGTTAAAAATTTACGTGTGTAGAAAAGTTTTTAATGTGATATGATGTGATGGAAAGTTAAAAATAGGGGGAAAGTAAAGACAGCCTAGGATTCTAGCTACATGCACTGGATGAGTATAGACAAGTAGGAGTAATTAAATAGGCACTTTTGTAGGTGCAGCCAGGATCAGCATCTCCCAATCCCATGGTTGATACTCCCTCCGTCTTAAAATATATATATAGTAACGTAGAATGAGATAAAACACATCCTAAAACAATGCATCTAGACACTCCAGATACATTGTTTTAGGATAGGTCTTATCCCATCCTAGATTGCTACTCCCTCTGTCCCATAATATGAGGGATTTTGAGTTTTTACTTGTATTGTTTAAACACTCGTTTTATTCAAAAAATTTTGAAATTATTATTTATTTATTTTTACTTACTTTATTATTCAAAGTATTTTAAGCACAACTTTTTATTTTTTATATTTGCATAAATGTTTGAATAAGACGAGTGGTCAAACAATACAAGAAAAAACTCAAAATACTTTATATTATATTATAGGACGGAGGGAGTATATTTTGGAACGGTAGGAGTAGCATATGAGAGCATGGCTGTATGGGCAACTCATGCTGTCATGCAGATGCAACACAGGCCAGGGCGCCTGGCAAAGCAATGGAAGCAACTGAAAATCATATCATCGCGCAATAAGTGCCAACTGATTTGTGGATCTCGTCATCTCCTCGCAACAAGATCAAGCTGGCCTCCTCAAGGCAGCGAATTCATGGTTGTAAGTTGTAGTAACATGTAAAAGGCCGGTGTAGGTGTACCAGCTAACGCTGTTAATTAAGCTTACTCTTAATTAATCTCCTAACCCCGTGTTCATACACTGCACCTGTGCTTCGATTTTCAGAAACTCACAACTAAACCGGAGAAGACAAGTGAACTGATGAATCGAAGCACCAATTGGGAGAGGTCAGAGTTGTTGCTCGATCTGTCTCAACAACCTCGAAACGCAGAAAATTGCAGGGCCCCCAGTTCGCTGTTTCTCCGGACAATTAATGCCGCACACACACAGGTGACACACAACATTTGAGAAGGGTACTTTTTACCCTATCTATACATTTAACGGGATATATGCAATATTTTAAATTAGAAACCTAGCCACTTAAACAAGTCGATTTAAAATTCGTTCGTACGAAGATTTAAATTCAAAACTTTAAATTCAGAACTTTAAGATGCATATAGACCTTAGATCACTGTACTAAACTACATGTCCTTTTGCACGTAAGTGACACCCGGGCCTGATCTATACGTCCAACCGATATATACGATCTTTTTAAATTGAAAACCTAGCCACTTAACAAGCCGTTCTAAAATCCGTTCATATGAAGATTTAAATTCAGATCCTTAAGATACTATTCGCACGTAGACCTTATATCACTGTAACTACTAGATTACGGTGTCCAATCGCACATAAGTGACACACAGGGCCCCAATGTGCTCTCCACCTTGCCAGTGCAGTGGTCACCGCGTCGCGCCTGCTGCTTTGCCCCCCGCGTCTCGGCTCAGATCGGCACCGCGGAGCAGCCGGCGGCCGGCGTGCACGCGGACACGATCCGCGTCTCGTGCTTGTCCTCTTCGCGCCGCCATAAATTCCATGGCGGGGCGCATGTCCGGCGACGGCGAGCGGGGCGGACACGCGCGCGGCGAGCACGCGATGTCACGCCGTGGCGCCATCCGTCGCCGCGGTTTTAACACAAGTTTAAAGCGTTGTGATCAGTGGTGTTAGAATCAAAACTCACGAACTCTCGCTCTCACGATCTGTCAACCTTTTATCAAATGTGAACAGTTAACTGAAGAACAGACTAGAACGAGAATCTCTGAACTTTTTATCGAACGTGAACAGTTAGCTGAAGAACAGAGTAGAACGAGCAGAGTTTTGGTGCAGCGTAAGCTTTTCTGGTTTTTCTATTTATTCTCCTCGATTACAGACTTTGTTACATGCATAACAGAAAAAAAACACCTGATTGATCTGGATCCACTCCTGACCGTACTCCCACGATCCAATTCAGTCCAACCGAACCAAAGAACTAGCTAGAGAACAGCTACAGGCTAACTGAAAAGAAACGGCTTCTGACAGATTCTAACATAGCTTCAGCCACCCATATGGCCATATGCAATGCAACAACGGAAACTAGAAGGGATGGAAGCATATAAAACGTACACCGAAGCGTGTTAATTTTACATCGCGCTCGCGTCGCGACACGAGCTGTTTGATACACATGGATCGATGCGTGGATCGTATCCACTCATGTCGTTGGGCCGCGGTTGAGGCGCGCGGCCGCGGCCATGGACGCGGCCACGCCGCCCGGCCTCGCCGCCGCGCCGGGCTTGTTGCGCATCTCCGCTCCGGCCACCCTCGCCGCGTCGCCGCTCTCCACCTCCTTGTCCGCCGCGAGCTTCGCCGTCGCGTTCTGCATGAACCAATGTTAGTATAGTACTCCTACCTACCTAGCTAGCTTAGCTTGCAAGATCGATATGATCAAAGAGAGCGCGCACCGAGAGGACGTCGCCGAGCTTGGTCTTGTCGGCGTCGCGCGCCGTCCAGAGGTTGGCCACGGCGGCGGACTGCGCCTGCGCCGCCAAGCCGCCGGGCATGTAGGTGTCCGTGCCGGTGGCTTTTGCTTCGGCCGCCTGAATGGCCGCCGCGTCGCTGCGTTCCACCGGCGTCCCTCCTGCCGCCAGCGCCGCCGCCTCCAGCGCCTCGCCGATTGTTATCTTCGCAGGTTCCTCCACCCGTACCGCGCCGGGGGCGGCGCCGACGACTCCTGCAACCACGGCGGCGCCATCGTCCTGCTCCACGTAGTGACCCACCGCCTGCAAAAAAAAAAAAGAAAGAAAAGGGAGATCGTTCACGCTGCACGCACAGCGGAGAGACGTCGATCGACGACGAAGTGTGTGACCTGGCCGGCGACGAACTCGGTGACGATGCGGCCGCCGCCGGGGACGAGGGTGTCGGAGACGTTGACGCCCTGCTCGGCGGCGGCGTCCGTGGCCTGGTCATGCCCGACGACGCCCATCTCCTCGTTACGACTCGCCGCGGACTCCATGGCGGCGGCGGGGCCGCCCTTGACCGTCTTCCCCAGCACGAGGTTCTCCGCCGACTGCATCGTCGCCGCGTCCCGCGGGGCGATGGGCTTGGCCGCGAGGCTTCCGGTCACCGGGAACACGTCGCCATACCGGATCCCCTGCTCGCCGCCGCCGCCGCCGGCCGCCTTCTCCGACGGCCTCCTCGGCTGCTCCTGGCTCATCGTCCTAGTACACTCTCGTCGTAGCTAGCACTATTGTAGTGAGATCGTGTGTGGTCTGCGCTGTGAATGTGTGAGAGAGATCTTCGATTTCGAGGTCATATATGGCGCGGCTCGCCGGGTAGAACGGGGGACAGGTGTGGGAGACGGCGGCGACGTGGGCGCGTTCGTGTCGCGCGCGAATGGGAGCGGCATGCGTGGCGCGTGTGAGCGGTGCTGTTTGTTCGCTTCTTCCTCCGCCACCTCTCTGGTCTTTCCGCGTGTCGACGACCACGGTGGCGGTGCATGCAGACTAAACTCACTCCCATGAACACGTACGCTAGCTGTCATCGGACGCCGTTGGCGGTTGGAGACTACGTCATCGTCCCGGCCTGGCCCATATTGATTGCAGTGTACGTGACAACTTGCGGCCCATACTTATTAGGCCCGAACAGGATTGCGTCCTCTTTTTATTGGGCTCGAGCGAGATTGCGGAGTACGGGCGGTCTATACTTAGGCTGTGTCCGTTTCTCCCACAAGAGTTGGATGAAATTTTGGATACTAGTGGCATGCTTTTTAAGTTCTAAACGGTGTGTTTCGTGCGAAAACTTTCTATATGAAAGTTACTCTAAAATACCAGATTAATATATTTTTCAAGTTTGTAATAATTAAAACTCAATTAATTACATGTTATTACCATCTCGTTTTGCATGAAACACTTAATCTTTATCTTCATCTTCATTTTCAGGAGATTCAAACACCACCTAAGGTGTATGGAGGGAAAGGGAGGGATCATAAGTGAACTTACTGTCGCTTTTCTAGTGACGTGTGGCCCATACTTATTGGGAAGAACGTATTGTACGGACTATAAATTTTGGGCCGTAATTGTGTTACGGTGGATGAGAGGCCCATTTATATCCACGCGATTCACTGGCGAAGCAGAAGCTACCGCCGCCGATCACCGATGGCGATCGCCGCCGCGCGCCGGCGGCTGTGGCGCGGGCTGACGACTGCGGCCGCCGCCTCCGTAGGGGTGGAAGCGGACACCAGCGCCTTGCTCGCGCGCCTTGTCGCCGAGCCTGAGTACCGCGTGAAGGCGACGATGGAGGAGGCGAGCGGCGGCTCCTCCGCGGCGGCCGCCTTCTGGGAGCCCCTCGCCGCCGCCCTCCTCCGCGCGTCGTCCCCGACTAAGGCAAACCTCGTGAGTGAGACACCCTTCTTCTCCCCGCTTAACTGTCAGTTGAGCTGTTGTTTTGTTTAGTTAGTATCAGCGTTATGGCGCAGAGAAATTTCCCCCTTTCTCGTATACTAGGTCGGGTTCAGATCTGCGATGCATTTGGCGGTACCATGATTTAGCTTATAGAGTGGAGTAGAACTATTGGATCGCGAGCTTGCGGTGCATGATTATATAATGCAAAGAGCTAAGCTATTGATAGCCTGATGCCCTGATATGATTCTGTTGGAGTGAGTACATTGGTGCTGATTCTGTTGTAGTCTTCATGACGATTTTACCGAATTATACATGTTTGTGCATTCTAGTGAGAGATCTTTGTAATTGCGTGCTAAGATAGAATCAACATTGATTCAGGTCTTGGAATGGAAGCTAGAGAAGCTAATCAAGGAAGGGATCCGTGATTGTGAGCCCTACTCAGTGATAATCCGTTTCTGCCGAGAGACAAAGAATGCAGAATTTGCAATGAAAGTCTTTGAATTCGTGGAGGAGCTTGGAATTCAGCTGAACACTGGCATTTTCAATGCCCTTATCAATGCTTTCTTGTCGGTAGGAGATCTCCTTGCTGCAATGACCTTATATGAGGCTATGGAAGACATAGAGGATTGCAAGCCCAACTCCGCTACATATGATGCATTCATTTCTGCATTTTCACGGCTTGGGAGTGGCCATGCAATGATGAGCTGGTACCTGGCATCAAAGGATGCAGGATTTACTCCTAGCATTAAGGCCTTTGAATATTTGATCACAGGTTTTGTGAAGTTGGACAGGCTAGATGATGCTGAAGTGGTATTTGAAGAAATGATTTGCTTTGAAATTAAGCCAAACTTTGCTATACTGGAGGCCAAGCTTGAGCTGCTTTCAAGAAGGAAAGACCCTAACAGGGTAAAAGTATTTTTGGAACTTGTAAGCGATGGGAATCAAGAGTTGAGTGAAGCTACAGTTGAGAGGTTAACAAGATTATGCCTGTACGAAGACAAAATTGGTGAACTGGACCAGTTACTTTCCCTAGTACAAGGCATGCACACGAGTTCTTTAACTAAGCTGCACTGTGGAATTATCAGATTCTATGCTAATGCTGATCGCTTGTCTGATATGGAGCATGCAATTTTCCAGATGTTGGATAATGGCATGGTTTTTGCCCACTCAGAGGATGTTGAGGCTGTTATCTGTTCTTATTTTCGTCACAAGGACTTTGATAGGTTGGATCTATTCTTAAACCGAATACGGAGTTTGTACAAGCTCACCCGGTCTACTTATGATATATTGATTTCTGGATATCAGAGGTTGAATTTACACGGAAGGCTCGACTTGGCCATAAAAGATATGAGGGAAGCTGGGTTTGCATGAGTTCCTGCAAAACATTCATTGTTCTGTGACCTCCTAAAAACAAATTTCCTGTGGATTTTGGAAAAGAAGGTAGCGTCCTCTTTATACAAACAATTCCGTGCTTTCAGTACTTTGGATTTGTTAAATGTCATTTGACGATGTTGCTAACTCCTTTGATAAACTAATCATTCTTTACTTCATTATTGATGTTGTACTTTATTCTTTACTCACTGTAAAACTGGGAAACGGCTAAACAAACTGAAATCTGAAAGAGAAGTGCAGAAACTATGTTGCATTTGAAACAGGATGTTTGTGCTTTCAACAAGTTGAATTGGCTTACAACTTTTAAGTGTATAGGTTTGATATGCGCTTACTGCTTCCATTATTAGCCTGAATAAAATTTACCCTTCTAATTGTAATTGAATACATTTTCTTGAGCTATTGTATTATATATATGGAGTCTGAACATATTTTAAGATGCAAGAAAGACAATTCACACAATACAACCTTAAAGAAGTTCAGTCACAAAAGTTTGCTCCAGTATGTGGAATGGATAGTTCCTGCACTGAAACATGATTAATCTTGCTTGCATAATTTTCCTTCGGTTTTATTCATAAGAGATAGTGCATCTCACTTCTTAACTCAAAATATCTATAAGTGCTGAATTGTGCTCTTCTTTTACAGCAGGCTCCATGTCAGAAAGCTTCATGCAAAGTTTGAGCTTAAAGCATTGCCTCCTGTTCATTCATGAAAACAACGCCTCGATGACAGGAATTAATTAATACTTCCATGATGCTTATGTTCCTTGCAAAACAAGCTAGTAAACCTGTTTGTATGTTACTTTTCAGAATCTCAGGTCCAGTTTTGTACAAACCATCAACTTGTTTTCTTCTCCTAATAGGAAAAAAAAAACGTACCAGCTGCAGTCATGTCTCTAAACTTTTTCCAAGTATTTGTCAGCCATTAAGCATAGTCAGAAAATTAATTTGAAATGCAAAACTTAGATAGAACTATACTGTTATGTAACCATGCCGACAAACATGCTTGACTTGCTTTCACCTGAATGACGGTATAATCCAGAGCTTGGAGTACCTTGCTCCAGGATTGACTTTGATTTTTTTTTCAAAAAAGGTTTCGAGCTTTGCTGTGGCCATGTCTCAAGGTGGAACTGTGAGAAACCTTCTATGAGTTGATAAATTCTGACGTTGTGAGCAATTTCTTGAATACACTGTTCATGGTAACCACATTCGTGAGTTGATTATCATGAGGTTTCAGGACGATGAATCTATACATGAACACAAGATTCAGACTCACAGGATGACATGCATGATCTTTTCCCATTATCCAACAAATATATGGGATCAATTGACTGAAGACTTTCATACCTAGCCAATTCGTGAGCTTCTGGTGGAGCCGAGCTTTGGTGTCATGCACCAATTAATTCATACTCCTATATTAGTTTCCCCTTTCTATTTTCCCTTTCTGTTCTCACTTTCAGTTTCAACTCAGGTAGCAATTTTCTTTTATTCTTCTTGGCACATTGGCATTCATCCTCGACAAGTTCGCATGTGCATCAAGAAAATTTTATAAGCTGTAAACGTTCTACCATTCATTTAATCACCTAAACATGAAGTAGGTTGATTGTGCACATTATATTTCCATTTCTTACATAAACCATTTAAAAATATTACAAAAGCTTTGTACATATTATTCTTGATGATTGTTTCAGACCTTATGTGAGGAAGAACAACTATTTTTAATGATTTTAATTATTCTTACATAAACCATTCAAATAAAAGATCTTTGTGAGGAAGAACAACTATTCTTGATTGTAATTATGATGATTTTAAACTACACATAAGGGAGGTTACTGTCGCGCGAATACAATTATAGACTAGTATATTCTGAAGAACCAATTACTGAGAATTTCGACTACTTGTGCAGATGCACGTGAGCACTGCGAATTTGTGATTACAGAAACATTTAGATGTATTTTATGTTTGAGATTCAACTTCACTAATCCAATGTGGCAATATATACAGGCTACAACAATCTCCGCCGCCCGCCTCCCCGCCTGACTCTGCCTTAGGCGCCACCATGCGGCAGCAGCGTGGGTAGACGAGGAGGAGGCTGGGAGCGGGGCGAGGAGCTCGACGACAGCGCCGGCCGCGGCCCTGCTGAGGATGGAGGAGCGGCGAGGAGAGAAGAGAGGCTTAACCTGCTGAGGATGTACATATCTTTAATCTTTTATTAATATAACATAGTAGGAGCCTCTCCTGCTGTTTAACCGGCTAAAAAAAAAAGAGAGGCTTCTGGCCGCCGCCCCTCCGCTCCTCCCCGCCGCTCTGCTGGCATGCTTCGACCATCGTCGTCGTCAGAGGCGGCGTCAGAGGCGGCGGGGACTAGGACGACAACAACGGCGACGGCTACGGAGCAGCACCGAAGACGACGCAACGAGGAAAAAGAGGGAGAGCCGACAGGAGGAGAGGGAATGATATGTGGGGCCCGCCCCACCATAATATTTTTAAACTGATATGTGGGTCCCACTATTCTTAAATTATTTTTTGCGTGTCGCTGGCATGTGGGCTCACGGTTTTTATTATTTCTCTGAGATATAATTACTACGTTAGCGCCACGTCAATACCACGTGGGATGGAGACCTAGTCAAACCAGCCACGTAGGCGCCACCTCAGCCAAAACCACTTTTTAAACCGCCGAGGGACCTCGTTTACACCGGTTTTGACAGTTCAGGGACCGGTTGTATCTGATTTTGGGGTTCAATGACGAAAATTGGATTTGGTGAAAAATTAAGGAACCTTAGATGAACTTATTCCTTTTTTGTTTGAGCCGGGCTGGGATTGGATGGAACATACGGGGAAAAAGTGTAGCGAAGGTCCCTCAACTTGTCATCGAGTTATAAAATCGTCCTCCAATCACAAAACCAAATATATGACATCCCTCAACTTAGGGTGTGTTTGGATGGTGGGTTTTGCCTGGATAGGAGATGGCTGTTTGGTCGCTGGGCGGTGTGGGATATGGCCACCACCCCAGAGAATATTCGCGGATGAGGCGATCCAGGGATGGGCGAGCGCACGCTAGGGAAAAAAGTGACGTGCGCTCACCTCCTTCCCCTCGTTTTCTCTTTCTGTCCTCTCCTTTTTTTCCTCTTATTTGAGAGAACTCATTATATGCCATTGACTTTATCATACGTTCACGATTTGCCACTGACTTTATCACGTTCTACAATATGCTATCGACTTTTGCTTAACTTATACAATTTACCATCGCCGTCCGGTTAGTTTCCGTTAGTATTGTATAAATTTGTCAAAATGACCAAAATACCCTTGGGACAAAAACTTTTAAAATTTGGATAAAAATTCTGAAATATAAGATTTTAAGTTTTTGGCCAAAAATTGGATGTTTACAATCTTATGTTTATAATATGATATTTTGAATTTTTTATCCAAATTTTAGAAGTTTCTATTCTAGGGGTATTTTAGTCATTTGGACAAAAATTGTAGTACTAACATAGGCTAACCGGACAGCGATGGTATACTGTAGAACGTGACAAAGCCGATGGTAAATCGTAGACGTGTGACAAAATTCAGTGGCATAATTCTCTCTCTCTCTCTCTTTTTTTTTTCCTTTCTAACCGGTCAAACCCTAGCTTCTCCCTTCCTCTCCCCTGGCGGCGACGGCCTCAAGCCCGGGAGGCGCACGGGTGGCGGCGTTCGGCGGTTCAGGGAGCGGTGTCCGGCGCCGGAGCTTGCAGCTGAAGAGGCGGTATCTTGCTGAGGCTACAACATCGATTTTCTCCATCCACTCATCTCCCAAAACCAAAGGTATACTCCCAGATCTGAGCTTGTTTGTTGTTGTTTGGTGATGGGTTCGTTCAGATCTGATGTATTATGCTTATTTGTTTGTATTTTTATATCTTGTATGCATCTCTGTCCATGTATATGTGTGTGAATGTAGTAGGCCTGATTGTGTATCAACCTTTGGCATTGTAGATGGACAACAGAACAAGGTTTATGATTTATGCGTAAAGGTAAAGCAGCCAAACGATAATGTTGTCTGGAAAAAAAATTAAAGAAGCCAAACGACAATGTTGTCTGGAAAAAATTGAAGCAAAAATATGTTGCGACTCTTGCCAATAGTCAGCTTGAAGCCACACCTAGGACTCAGCCGCCACCTAGGACAAAACCGGGTCAAAAACCACCGAAGGACCTAAAGTTAAACCTCCTCTGTGATTATGCAAATGGACAAGGTAATAGAACTAAGCCCTAGGTGTGGCTTCAAGCTGGCTCCGCCCCTGAAATTGATCTCAACGTTAACTCATGGTTCTGATTGTTTTTTTTCTTAACATTTTTGGTAGTATGACTATGTGCAAACACAACGTTGGAAGGTTTTTATGTGTACCTTGGAAGAGCTTTTGTTGTACAGAAAAAAAAAGGAGATTATGAGGAGGGTTTTAACGGAAATTAGCACGTTCTTTATATGCACTGCAAACGATTTGTCGAACTGTTGTGGTTAGTTACTGACTATTGGCAAGAGTCGCAACATATTTTTGCTTCAATTTTTTCCAGACAACATTGTCGTTTGGCTTCTTTACCTTTTTACGGACAACAGTGTTGGTTTGGCTGCTTTGCCTTGACATTTACTTACTTAATCACGTGTCAAACTTCCTCAACAAAGGCAGTTGCTTTTCATATATCTAATGGTCATTACCCCTTTTCCTTTGATCCAAGAGCTTATACTTTTTTTAATGGTGTGTCTTAACAGGGAGGCTCGGTGTGTAGTCAAAAATTGAAGGAGAGGGAGGGAGAGGTAACAAGTTTCTCCCCCAAAACGCTTGGGGGTTCAGCTGAACCCCCATGCCCCACCGGTAGGTCTCACAGAATTGTACATCATGCAGCTTTTTCTCCTGAATTTCCAGGGTCACGGGACAGTTTGCATGGCATGATCATATTTTGCTAAGGTTCTATTAGAGTGTCATTCAATGGCCCATTTCATGGATTTACGGGCTTTCATCCTGCGTGCACGTGTTTTAAAGCTTTATAGGCAGGCCTTGCGCATGACTCGCCGAGCTCCTGTGCATGCATGCGGTCAGACATTTTTAAACCTTGCTTTCCTATCTTTGCTGTCTAATGTTTACTCTTGAAGTTACAACTAATAACTGTCCTTGAATGTTCTTTGTCCAGATGAGTTGAGGCAAACTGTAAGAGCTGAGATTGAAAAAAATCGCCGTTGCGACGATAAACAGAAGATTAAGTTCTTGATCAGTGAAGGTCTGCAACGATTAAAAGGCCTTGATGAGATGCTTGACATGACAGGAAATAGTTAACCTGAGTTTCATGTCGGATATGAGGTTCAATTTACACGGAAGCTGGGTTTGCATGAGCTCCTGCAAAACATTCATTGCTCTGTGACCTCCTACACCTGATATTTCCAGAACCCATAAGGCATCAGGCCACATGAACTTGTGGCCTCCTGGATTAGAGTTTGTTAGAACGGACCCATTCAGATTCTTTGCCTCGTTCTATCCAGGGGATAGGAAAGATATCAGGCTCAGATATATTATCATGGTAGATCATCGATGGTGTGCGTGCATATGGGACGAAAATGCAGTTACCGAGGCATCATGCTTGATTTTGCACACATCTATTCAGTCAAGATATGCTAGCGAGCTTTAGAAGCAATTGGGATTTCTTTAGATGCTATCTTGAGACCCTGAATTTCCAGGTGTTACATCTGAGAAAATAGCAGCTAGAGATGGATTAAGCTGAAGAAAGGTATCTGACTTGTCGTTTAGGTACGTCTGCTTTGAGGCGATGATGTTCAACTTTTTCAGACCCGATGGCTTACTTTTCATATTTGAGATACTGACCTCATGTTTCAGTCCTGATGTTCTTACCATTTCTTCGTTGCAATTTCTTAGCTGGTATGATGAGGTCATTAAACATGTACTTTCTTTCCAACTATTTCATTATATGCCACAATAAAGATACTTGGTAATATATGCTGGTCCTGCCGTGCTGGTATATAAAAATATGCTCCATGATCTTAAGCTTTTGTTTTGTTGTGATCATATCAAATGAAGGGATACCTGCTAACATTACTTCCATTAGGTAACTTATTATGTGACAATCGCTGTTTTTAGTGCTTTCCGGACCCAATTTGTGGGGATCTCACTATCACCATCGATTGAGCTGGTGCTCACACTGTTAATCTACTCTAGATTTTGGAATTTTGGATTATGTTGTCTTACTTAAAAATGAAGTGATTCTCTAAGAAAAAAGACAACCCATGTGAAGCTGCCTGTAGTACTGATACATTGGTACAAATAATCACTATCAAATGCTTTCATTCATTTAGAGAAGGATCATCGTCATAAAGCTATGTTTGGTTACTAAACAAAGATTCATGCATACATGATGCATACTCCCAAGTCCCAACAACACAACTTGTGTGGTCCATATAATCTTGATAGGGTTCATCTGCTCTTGTCCATGATGCCTTGGACTCCTTAACGAACCGGGTTCCCTTTTGTTAGGCACCGGTTTTCCTTCCCCTTTTTGATTTGCTTTGCACCAGCTATTTGGCGTTCTATACATACCAAACTATTTCCTTTTGTTTGCAACTTGATCTGAAATTTGTTTAGACATGTACAGATATTCTGGATCTATCATAATTTAAACACTTTGAAATTAAATTGCCCTTCGTTCCGTCGCTGGCCTGGCGAATTTTTTTTTAATACTCTGAATTTGAACTGAGAGTGATAGCCTGATAAGATTATCACTACTTACTTCAGTTCAGATAGTCACAGAAGAAAATTGCAAGTAGAAATAAAATAACATACACTGATCAAACAAAGGGTATGCAGCTATAGGTTTGTTATAAACCATGGATTGTCAACTGACACAACTTTTATGGTACACAAAGCATATTGTAGTGATATATTTTTCAGTTATAGATGGTTCTAAGATAATACTCTTCGAACAGTCTCCTGGCAGTATGCTAATGCATACTAGGCCTCGAAATTCTGTAGAAATCTTATGGGAATTAGTCAATTCCTTCAATGTCTGCAGAAGTTGGGAAAACATTTTCAGTATTTCTGTGGATGCATTAGCAAAAAAAAAAAAATTGTGTCAAATAATTGTGGCAGATAAGAGCTACTACTACCAGACACTTCGGGGCAGACCGTGGGCCACTAAAATACGACAGATTTGATGAATCCATGTGAAATGCTGCACCAACCAAGTGGGCCTATTGGCAACTGACCTTCAGAAACTAATAAAATAACCTGACAAATCTAGGGAAGATTTACACGGTTTGTTAAACCCAAACTGAATCAAGAGAAAAATCAAGATAAAAATTAATCACATATTCTCCTGTATTTACAATTGGTTTCAGGAAAGAAAAAAAACAAAAACAAAAACAAAAACAAAGAGAAGCTACAACTTACAAAACTTACAGTAGCTTCCTTCCCTTTGCCTCAAGAAAAGCTGTTTGAAAGACAGCATATGAAACAGCTCTTCCTTGAACTATGATGGAAGAGAAACATCAAAGAACCCCATCTTTACCCAAAAACAAAGATGGCAAAGACATTACTAGATAATAAGTAGATTAGATGAACAATTAGCGCAGACAAAGGGCTATCACTCTACTGATGATTTCTCTACTGTACAACCACCAGCCTGCCACTAATCTTCCCTCCATTGCAGCACCTCCAGGCCTCCTCTCCGCCGTCGTTGTCACCTTCGCCGCCGCCGCGCCCCTTGGGCACGGTGACGACGAGCTGGCCGTTGACGTAGCCGGCCACGGCCATCGCCGGGCAGCTCGCCTCCGGCAGCCGGGACCTCCACTTGTCGAGCTCCATGTCGTCGTCGTCGCCGTCGTCGTGTACGCCTCCTCCTCCGGCCTGCACCACCACCCTGACAACCCCGGGGTGGATCCTGACGGTGCGCACGCGCACCTCGCCGGCGAGCGCGGCGGCGGCGGACACGACGAAGTGGAACGCGTCGGGGCCTTCGAACACCGCGACGTCGGTGTCCGCCGGGAACGGCAGCTCCAGCACCTTGCTGTAGACGTGCGGCAGCCGCCGGAGATCCTTCTTGCCGCCGCAGCTGCCGCCGGCGGTCGTGGCTGGTGATGGGTGGATCCTCATGTGTATGTTTCTTTCTCCTCTTTTTCTCACTGTCTTCTCCTTTTTTTTCTTTTCTTTTCTTGCTGCTGGTTTGTTGGTTTGGTTGGGCAAGACGAAGGGTGGAGAGGGGGCTCTGGATTTATAGGTAAAGGCCAAGCAGAAGCAGGTGTCACAAGGTTGTTTCTTTCTCTCTTTTCTTGGGTGTGTTCAGGGAGCTTCTGCAGCTATAGCTTTTCTTAAAATAAAAAACTCTCTAACAATTTCTCTTAAAATAAGAAGTTTTCAAAAAAAAAAAGCTTTTTTTTAAGATTTTGATGAGTTATAGTTATAGAATCTAGAAAATAAATTAAAGATCGAGAGCTGGGAAACTCGATTTTTTTTTAAATTCTCATAATCTAACTAGTACTTCCTCCGTCCTTAAAAATAGCTACCTACTACAGGATTTGATATTACCTAGTACTATAGTACTATGAATCTATACAGATATTCTGTGCTAGATAGCTATATTTTAGAATGGATATAGGTGGTAGTACCAAATAATCGCTTCTTATAATTATAAGCTTTCTCTAACGTGTCTCGTGGTGCGGTGCAGATAGGGAGATAAGCCGAAGGGAGAGGAGATGGATCACACGGCTCAGGCAGAGGCAAAAGAGAGGAGCCAGTGAGACGATGGAGATTGGAGACGCTGATAGGAGTGCGTGTCCCGGTGTCCGTGCCTGTGTTTTGGGCCTGTTTAAATCCATGCCCAAAATTTTATACCCTATCAAATTGAACATTTAAACACCTACACGAAAAATTAAATATAGGCTAAAAAATAACTAATTACACAGATTGTAGTTAATTTACGAGACAAATTTTTTAAGCCTAATTACTCTATAATTTGACAATGTAATACTATAGTAAACATTTGCTAATAATGGATTAATTGTGCTTAATAAATTTGTCTCGCAGTTTACTAATAAATTATGTAATTAGTTTTTTATAGTACCTGAATACCTTATTTGATACCATATATAATATCTAATGTGATACGCACCAACTTTACGCGTGGCCCGTGGGGGCGCCGGGCGGGGCACGTCAAGGCGCGGGTGAGGGGTGGGCTCCGGTGGAGTTGAAGATAAGGGCGGTATTGGCCGTTTCCCCAGCAATCCTAGGCTTCCAGCCGCTGTGCCGACCCAAACATGGGGCGCTGCTCCAACGGTTTCAGACCACACCACTGGTGAGTGATCCCTTTGGTTAGGTACTACTACTATCTCTGTGTGTTTTCTTTCTGGTTTGGAATTCAGGATACGGAATCTTAACATAATCAGTTTGACACTTTGCTGTTTTTAATTCTGGCTGTTATATTTACTTACTCCAGTAATAGTAACCGATCAGGTCATGATATGAGAATATGAGATGCTGGATTGATAATGGGTTGGAAACTGGCTGGAAAGGTTTACTGTATGTGATTGAAGGGAAACTGGGAAGGAAAAGAATGGAGCAGGCAACTTGTGGTTCAGGTAAGAGTGCAAAGAAGATATCCTACATGCAGGGAAGGTATTTTTGCCCGGTCAGATACGGCTTGCGGCCTTATTTACCGGGTTGGGCAGGTAAATTGGGTAAAATGGAACACTATTCTGTACCGATATGGGTGGAGCGTCAAGTGTGGTAAGTTAAGTTGGTGTTACTGTCAAGTGACTCAAATCCTAGAACTGATAGGAATCGAAGATAATTTACTTAGCCGACTTGGACTGCTTGTCTCAGCTTTGTTTGGATATGCACCAGTGAGCAAGCGCTGATTGCTTAACATTCAGAGCTTATCTGAGCCGCCGTACAGGGTTTTTCTTTGTCTCGTCAGCTCACACATTTCTGTGCGTCATCTAATCTGGATATGCACTACTAGCACAAGCGGTGGTTGCGCCGTTGTGGTCTTCTTTACTACTAGTATACTACTCCTCACTAGTGATTACCAGTAAGCTAGAGTGATTATTCTTTTTCCTGGTGATATGTTAGTGAGTAAACAGGAATATTGTTTCTTTTGCTGCTAGTGCCTGATCATGATGTTCTGGCTGTGTTTAGTTCAGCGTAAAATTTAAATTTTAGTTAAATTGGAGATGATATAACTGAAAAATTATGTGTGTATAACAGATTGATGTGATGGAAAAAAACTGAAGTTTGGATCCAAACTTTAGATCTAAACACAGCCTCTGTCTCTCTCTCCCAAGTTGTGGCTTTCAGGTTCAGCTGGAAGGCAGACGTGAGGTGCTTGTCGTTTTTGTTTTGCTTATCTGAAACCTGAAAGTGTGGGGCTACATAGTGTCCACTCAGGGGCAAAAAAACCACATTGGTTTATACTTAGTTTGTACTACATATAAAATCTTCATTATCCAAAAAAACTAATACCTCCATTTTAGGTTATAAGACATTTTAACTTTGGTCAAAGTCAAACTGCTTTAAATTTGACTAAGTTTATAGAAAAATAATAATAATATTTTTAACACAAGACAAATTTATTATGAAAATATATTCAATTACTGATTTAATGAAACTAATTTGATATTATAAATATTACTATATTTGTCTATAAACTTAGTTAAATCTGAAGTAGATTAACTTTAACCAGAGCCAAAACGTTTTATAACCTAAAACGGAGGGAGTACTAGCTATACAATCTTTCTTTCTCACTGGCCTTGTTCTGTTATGTTCTTTGTTCTTTTTTACAGAATGAACCAAGTATGGCTAATGGACTTGGAGATTCACGCACCGAAATATCGAGTGCTCTTCTCTCTCTTTTCCATGAGATTACAAAGATGGTGCACGCCATGGTGGGCAATCTCACAGAGCAGTCTGAACTCTGAACAACAAGGATATTCTTTACCCTTCGAATCGGATGAAAGTATCGCACATATTCTTGTTTCCGGCAGGTAGCTGCTCACCATGGAATCGTTTGACGGCGAATGCTGCTGTGTACCAACAAAAAGAGATAAAAATCAAGCAATTGTCGTGCAAGTACCAATCAATCGCCAGGTCGTTTTCTTCTTTCCTTACCCAATGGAGGGGATTGGAGCAGTTGCCGCGTCCAAAAAAGATCAGAAATCTGCCTGCTCGTCGACATGGATGCATTGGATCATACAGCTACACAAGCTTTCTCCAGTCGGATTGGTAGATTACACGCGTAATCGCCGACCAGATGGAGAGAATCAGAGTGCTAATTCGCCTCTTCTTCACCATGAACACGAAGCTTCTCATGATCCTGTCGCCGATAGCTTCGCCTGAACTACTACAATTTCTGTCCATTTTCCTTACTGCCGTTCGTAGCTGAAGGTTCCGGCCTCACAGGCAGATATGTTCATTTTTATTCCTGAAAAAAGTATGGAGATTTCATAACGGAACGATACGAACTCATATCGCCATCAGAAATTAAAATATGAAATTGAATTATAATTTGCAGCGAACCAAGTGAGCCTTGCACATTGAGGGGACACTTCGCTTGTGATCGTGAGTTCACTACTTCACTTGGCTCTTGTTCTAACATCAGTGGTCGTATCGGTACCTGCACTACTGTACCATCGCCATGAATGAACCAATCTCCAGGCACGCACTCTGAACGACTGATCGTGATTAGATTAGAAAGAAATGCAAATGACATAGTCAGTTTAGTCCACTAACCAAATGGACCAGTCAAAGCGAGTGTTACTGTTACCATTAGATGAACAAGAGTAATTCCAATTGCTACCTCGACTAGTTTGTTGAAACTCGATACTATCACTATGCTGCCACTTAAGCTAAACATTTTAAAGAATTACAATAATGACTTATGATTTTATCAAAAGGCCGGTTGCAAATTGGGCTCATCGTGTACGGGTAAAATTACTGTTTTTTTTCCTTTTAATAAAGCCATTTGCTACTGTTGTAGTTATGTGAAATACCAAACAAGTTGTAGTGAAGCAATAGTTTCGATCAAATAACTACTCTCCCATCTTCATTCATGTCTCCAATAAGTTTATTTTCGACTAATCATTGTACCGAAGTTTATGAAATTAGAAGATAATCCCTCCGTACTCATAAAAAAAGTCGTTTAGGACAATATTTAAATCAAACCTTGGGAATATAAATCATGAATAACTCTCAAGTTGTTGAGTTTGAAAATGTAAAAATTATATAAATAGATTTGTCTTGAAAAATACTTTCATACTTTCATAAAAGCATATACATATATCACTTTTCAATAAATATTTTTATATAAACAAAGAAGCCAAAATTGTGTTTTTGAGACCGTGTCGCTGTCCAAAACGATTTCCTTTACGAGTGCGGAGTGAGTAACTGTTTTCAAAAGTAGCTAAAGAGATGAATAATTACATTAGGATTTTTATAAAGTGAGAATATTAATATTTTTACCAACATGTGTGAAATTGGTGAAAAATATTTTTAACAGAAGGGACAGAGTTTATGAAATTTACGCGATGAACATTTATGTGAGACTGGTGAAGCGGGCCCACACTGTCAGGATTGCCTCCCCGGTGCATGCACACATCCTCCCACTCTGCCGCCAACTTACCCCACAGGGGGAGGGAGGGAGGGAGGTGGGCCACCCCACGATCGACGGCTGCCCGTCCTCCCACTCACGTCACGTCCCAATCTCCGCGCCCCCGCCGCGTAATCCCGCGTCCCTCCCTCCCGCTTCTGCTACGCTAAACCCACCCGAGTGGCTTCCTTCGGTAATTAACCCCCAACTCCACGCCCCCATTAACAACTAACCCCCCACCCCCGCGCGTACGTTTTGCAGTCTAACCCCTCGGAAACTTCCTTTCCTTTCCTTCCTCCCACGCTTCTTCTTCTTCTTCTTCTTCCCTTTCCCCAACCTCGCCGTCCTTCGCTTGCTCACGCGGCCTTCTCCGATCGCGGCGGCGGCGGCGGAGGAGGAGGAGTACGGGGAGGGGCGTAGCGAGGATCGAGCGGAGACGTGGTTGACGAGATGAAGAATCTGTTCAAGAGTAAGATCAAGTGGCAGCACCGGTCGAACGACCCCGCGTCGTCGCAGGGGCAGGGGCAGGGGCTGCCGCAGCAGACGCCGCCGTCGCCATCGCCGGCGAGCTCCCCGTCGGGGGGGCCGCCTGCGCTATCCGTGTCGACGGTATCGTCGTCG